CCTGATGGCCTCATCATAGTTAAAGGGGACGTTGAGGTCCCACTCCGGGAATATCCTCTGTATAATTCTTCTTGTTGCCGCTCTTCCCCTTTCGCTGACAGTTCCGATCTCGGGCTCACTCCCCACATGGAGGTGTCGATACGGGTCCCCGGCGGCGGAGATGGCGATGTCCGCGTTGTCGTAGTCGGGATGGATGTCCCTTCCTCGCGGATTGTCGACCCCCAGCCTGCTGATGGACGGGCTGGAACCGGAGTTTGGCTCGGTGGGGGTCTCGGGGGGGTTCTGGGTGGGGTCGGGACTTTCGTGGGGTCCCGCAGCCATCCGAGCGGCATCAAGGGAGTCCCGAGCACGGTTTCCAATCCCTGAGGGAATTGGGGAGGCGGGATGCTCGGGGGAGTCTGCTGGAGTGACGTAGTTGGAGACCTCGGCGGGCTCCTGAGCGACGTTCGTCGTCCATGGGTTCCGGAACCCTGTGAGAGCAGGGTGGCGGTCTCCGACGTGTCGTCGGGGGTGTTCGGGTCCTTCTTCCTCATGAAGGCTCCTCTGATCTGGGTCGCTATTCCCGGCTTCTGGTACGGGTCCCCCTTGCGGGAAGAAGGACGTTCTGGCGGAGGGGGGGATGTCATGGAAAGGGAGATCGGGGGTTACATTTCGTAGTATTTGTTGAATATGTTGGAATGCTTGGTAGTGCCTGACTATCCAAGCTGCTACTGATTGTCTTCCGCGGCAAAGGGTGATGATGGCTAAGAGACCGAGCAATGTTCCGATGATAGAAGCTATTAGCTCGAAGAAGTCGTGATTCAGGTCTGCGGTTGTTACTGGAGGCATTCGGTTTCTCAGCACAATTGGGCTTGAGAAAGGGAACGAGGAAGCTTCGAGCTAATTGTTAGGCCCAAGCGTCACGTGGACTGATACATGTGATAAACAGATGTTCCTTCGCACTTCGAGGAATCACCTGAGTTCACTTTATATGTATATCCGAACGGTGTGACTCAAGGTCGATAGTAGACTCGAGGTAGAATGGTGTGAATAAACTTTAGCTCGAAGCTGGGGACTACCAGCGAGAGCTGTCCTACTTAAATACTACTGAGTAGTGTCTAAATATACGACTACTTATTGTACGTTGCTGTATCCCTTGTGCCCATTGTACTAGAGCATCGTTACTATACATAAAAGGTTCGTTGTGCGTCGTCGAGCGCTGCTTGAAGACAATGGTGGGTCTGGCTTGTGCTGACCAAGATTCCCACGATCCATCATCGTGACTAAGCACAGAATAGGGGTTTGAAAGAAAGAAAAATAGTAGAAATTGTAACACCATCTATGATGGTCCACCCCTGAGCTGTTGCTTCAGGGTCATCCTTCTTCTCATCAGTCAGAGCCGATCTGCTTTCTTCGACTTCATCGGGAGGTGGCTGTCCTCCCAACAGTCGGCTTCCTGTGCCAGTCCAGGGATTTGGGTGGTAAATCCTTGGCTGCCCATAGGATCAGGTTAGCCAAGATGCCATACTGCAGATGGCCAATGTGGTGAGTGAGTATCTTGACGTTGCCATTCAGATTGACAATGCCATGTTTGCTGACTTGGGTGGCATCACACTTGGCATCCACAGCATTGGTGCCTCCTGCTTGCCGAATCTTGGTCGATATAGTGGCATCACCATCATCTGGTAATATAAATATCGCTGATTGAAATTGAAAATAGCCTGCTTAGTTGTGGCATACTGTAAAATCTCCTCCCACTTAACAGGATCAGCAGCCATATACCTTCACCCTAGGGATGATTGTAACCAGAGATCATCCCTTTATAATTCGGCTATCTGTTCTTGGTATAGCTAAATAAAGTCCTCCTCCCATGCCTCTTGTTCTTGTCATTTCTTCTCCTGCTCTCAGCGCATTGTAATGCTGATGATACTTCCCCACTCAAGGATGGGGTCCACCGTCCAGCTGCCTTGGTCCTTCTCCTCGGCCTCATCGTCTCCTTCAGCTCCCTTGTCGGTGATCCCTTCGAGGAGAGAACTGTCTTGCTGGCCGAAGGTTGTCACCATGCATAGGTCGGGGCTGAGTACTTGGCCCAGTGTCGTCGGATCCAGGTCGAGGAGTAGACTCCCAGTCAGGCTGCTCCTCTTCTTCTCCTTCTGCTGATGGTGCCACTGCTTGGCAATATCAGCAGAAGTTTCTATAGAACCAGGGATGGAGAAAGAGGGTGGCGATTGGCCCATCGAGGATCCTTTTGAGGTCCCTGGTAGGGTCAATATGTTCGTTGTCACCCCCGATTGTTCCCCAGTCTGGTGGTATCCTATCTCCCTGGATAGGAATATCATCAGTTTTGGTGATGGTGTCAGTCCTGTATGATAACAGGTGGTCATCATCGAGGAGTGTTGGCTCCTTGGGGTAGTGGTTGTCAGCATGGATGGTTCTAGTTGGTCTGGTCCAAGGGTCGGGCTCACTGGAGAGAGTGGCTGGCTCCCAGAACGGAATGTCGGGAGCTTCGAGGAACTTGGCAAGAGACTGGGGGGTCGGCCGTATTGGGTTTCGTACCACTGGACTACGCCTCGGTAGGTGTGTGGCTTGTCCCTGTTTCATTCTACTGGCTGCTCTTGACACCTCTTGCCAGTATCAGACCTTGTCCCTGTTGGTGTCATCAAAGAAGGGGTCAGGACTACTGACCCTTGTTCCCCTTCCACTACTTCTTGTTGACAAGGCATGTCAGTGATGCCTGTCGACATTTCTGGTGTCTGGAGCCATCTGAATGGCATCCAGAGAGTCTCTAGTCTGGCACCCAATTCCAGACTGGGTGACAGTTGTTTCTGACGCAGTGACACTGCACTCGGGAGAGGGGATAGGGGTGTGGAGTCGGGTTCATTGAAATCCTGTAGCCCAAAGATTTCCAGGGTCTCGGATGATTGCCGATGGGGGTCTTGGGGGGTATTCGTGTTGCTGCTGCTGCTGCTCCTCTTCTCTAGGATGTTCTTCAGTCGAGCTCCTAGGCCCGTCTTCTGTTTTCTCGGGGTGTCAGATGGAGTTTCGGACAGAGGGAGGGATGTCGTGGAGAGGGAGGTCTGGTGTGACATTTCAAAGGATTATGCGGATACATTGGAATTCTTGGTAGTGTCGAATGGCCCAGGTGGTAATAGATTGGCATCCACAGCACAGCTGTATGATCACCAATAAACCGATCAAGGTTCCAATGATAGAAGCCAAGAGTTCAAAGAACTCATGAGTAAAGTTTGGGTCAGACAGATTTAAGGCAGGGGGCATTCAGTTTCTCAGCATAGTTGGGCCTGAGAAAGGGAAGCAAGAAGCTTCGAGCTAATTGTTAAGCTCAAACTCCACATGACTATTAACATATGATAAACAGTTTGGTACCTCGCACTTCGGGTATGTCCAACTGAGTTCACTGATATGTTAACAGAGATGTGTGGTCAAGGCATTGCAAGTTGCTCAAGATAGGATAATAGAGAATAAACTTTAGCTCAAAGCTGGGGTATTACAGCGAGAGCTACGCTACTTAAATACTGTTCTGTTATTGTACTATAAATAAATGTGCACAAAAAGCTGTTGTCTGTCATAGAGCTGTTTCTCCCATTGTTGCCAGGTTCTCCACAAAAGCTGTTGTCTTGCTGTTGTGCTGTGGTCATTGCACTGCCAGTCGGAGACCAAAGAGGTATTGTCTCTCTTCACAGCACACAGCAATGCAATAGAAGAATGACTGACTTGGGTTGCTGAGCTAAGCATTCCCACAGTCCTAAGTGCTGGCCTAAGCACCCTGACTAAGTGAGATAGGGGTCATTTCCAAGGAAAAAAGAAAAGAAAATAGGAAAAATCATAACACAGAAGATGTAGGTATGGATGATGTGAAAGTATTCAACCAGACATAGCCTCATCTAAAATGTGGGCCAATATTTTAGTCTTTGCATTTGCACTTTTGAGACCTTAAAGACCTAGGCTCTGCTGCTGCTGCTGCTATTACCTTCACTGTTACCTCTTCCAAATCTAAGTCTCCTTTTTGATTGGAGGAGATTGGCACATTCAACAATGTCTCTAGCTTAGTGTCCAGATCCACATTCACTACAGGTACCATACCTATAGTAATTAGCACATGGATCTTGGCAAAAACCCAGGTTCCAGTTTTCACATGGAACTGTTAACCTTTTTGCAGCAGGAAGTGAAGCAGATGAAAATCATTTTGTGCCTGAAGAAGTCAAAAGAGAGCAAAAAACCTGGATAAGAATGGGAATTTGTAGTTCACTCCAGACATCTATATGAAAAGGAGACTTAGCATATTGCAGCTGAACTTCTTCATCAATATGAATGGCAACTGTGGAGTCATGAGATGCAGCCTGAAAAACTTTGACCACATATTTTCAGTAAACTTTGAGTTCAGCCTTATAGTGGAGATAGAAAACCTGAACACCTCTAGTCCAGATATCATACATTCTGCACCAGTCAGATTCTGACCTGAGAGACTTCTTGGCAGATGAAATGTCCTTTCTGATAATAGCATATCCTGCCATAAGCTCTTTTGCCTCCTCATTGTGATCATATCCTCAGTCCATTGAAGCAAAAAGTTTCAAAAAGTCAACATACTGGTCCTGAATGATGAGTCACCAGAATGGCTGAGCAATAGATTCAGACAGAGACTGAGCTTGAAGAACTGCAATGAGATTGTCAAGTGACTTTTCAGTTGCATAAACTTGTCTGAGTTGAAATGACTCAGCAAGATGAGGATTTGAGATGCCAGTGGCAACAATGGATGCAAGGTGAGATGCTTAGGCAAGGACCATTGGGGAAATAGAAGCTGTCTTTGGTGAGACAGTGTCACTGAGCCCCAGAATGCTGGCAAGAACTGTAGTGATAGAGCTTTAGGGATCATTTGTACTAGATGTCTGATGAATGAATTGAAGCTTTGAACAGAGCATTGTCCAAGTGGCTTTTTCAACTGTCTGAGATCTGGTTTCTTGATGCTGTTCAGCAGCAGCCTTGGATTTCTCGACTTGCTTTTGTCAAAACTCCTTGACTTCAGCCTGAGACAAGTCTGGTGGAGTAGCCTTCCTGTAGTCTGATGCACCAATATCCTTGTTGTCACCATCTTGAATGTTAGAGGAGGTAACAGTCAAGCTTTGTGTGCCAGCTTGCTTAATCCACTCCTGCAAAAGTCTGATGTAATCTCCAGCAGCCTCAGATGAAATGCCAAGCTGGTGAAGTCTGTCTGCAAAGTCAAGGACATTGACAGTGCCTCTGACACATTCCTCAACAAAGTCTTTACAATGTTTCACTAAGGCAGTGACACATTCAACATTGGTCAATGGATTGGAGGTCATGAATGAGATTAATAGATTTGAGAGATGAATGTCAAGGATAAAAAACTCAATGACTTGTACAATAATAGTGCAGTAATACTGAATGAGGATTGGTTAAGTCTGGCAAAGCTAAGACTACTCAAGTGAGCCAATTGTGAGATAAATAAAGAGACAGAGCCTCACCAGGCAACAGAAGTTACTAACAGGTAAAGGAGGAGGTGAAGCCTTGAAGCCTGGGATTGGTGGTCAGAAAAGATTGACAGTGAGAAAGCAGAGCTCATCTCACTTGAGGATGCAGGATAAAAGTGGAAATGAAAAAGAGATATCTGGTGCTGATGTCTCTCATGAATCAGCATCAGCCAAGACTCAGCACTGAGACAGAGATAGCACCAGCAATCCCTCTTCATAGATGAGCAGAGCTCTGTATCTCTGTGTCAATAGAGATTGTGACAATCTTAAGAGTCACTCAGAGGCCTGCAAAAATGCTCTCTACTCTTAGAATCTACCTTTATGATGGATTCTCCATGCAGTGTATAAATGTCCATAATGATTATATTGTCAAACAACAAGTGTGATGAGTAGCAGTGATAGTCTTGCTATTCTGCTACTTAACTCTACTATGTATTGGATAATCACTTTTTGGCATGGAAATAGACATTCTAAAAATGTTGTGACTTTCAATTACCTTTATATGCTGCAAAAGCAGGATAAGGAAAACACAATAAAAAACTTGCTATTTTTAGCACTTTTTATATGCCAAAAACAACCTCTTTTCTTTGAATGATTCATAGTGGTTTCTTTTGTTCTGGCAGTGGGAGATGCACTGCTGGGACTGGTACATTTTTGTTAGAATTTAGGTGCTGGTGATTTGGAGGAAGGTATATTGGACTTGAAGGAAGAGTATATTGTCATATAGAGTAAGGACAGTAGTGGTTCTGAGTCAAGTCAATAAGGTACAAAAAAAAATGTCAAAGTATAAGATAAGCAGTAAAATATATATAAATAGAATATGATATTAAAGCTGTGAAAACTGAATCTCAACAATTTTCTCAACAGAAAAATAGGATCTGAAAATGTTGTGACATTTCATTCAATTTTGCAATAGTAAAAATGAGTTCAGTAAAATGAGTCAGAAACTGAGATCATTTCCATATTCTTTTCTGTAAAGGAAAACAGCAGGGAAATTTGAATTGAAAAAGGCATCCCTGACTGCTAGAAGAAGGGAAACCACTTTTTGTTTAAAGAAAAGAGGTTGGTTTTGACACATAAAAAGTGCCAAAAATAGCAAGTTTTCATTGTGTTTTTCTTATTCTGTTTTTGCAGCATATAAAGGTAATTGAAAGTCACAACATTTTCAGAATGTCTATTTCCATGCCAAAAAGGAACCGGCCGGCCCCAGCAGTGATGCAATTTTCAATTCAAATTTCCCTGCTGTTTTTCTTTGCAGAAAAGAATATGGAAATGATCTCATTTTTTGACTCATTTTACTGAACTCATTTTTACTATTGCAAAGTTGAATGAAATGTCACAACATTTTCAGGTTCTATTTTTCTGCTGAGAAAACGTACCAGTCCCAGCAGTGACTGAAATTATGAGGGCAGCCATGTTCTATGAAGTATATCTATTTAGATGTGTTGTCTTCGATGCATGAGCCCTCGCTACAATATGTCTGCGTGGCTCGGGCCGCTCAGGGCCGTAGCCAAAAATGGTGGGTGGTCTCCCATTGAACTCCTGACGTCTCCCACCTCCTTTCCGCCCATTTTATACCGGTCCCACCGGAACCTAGGACACGTTACTCAGCCTCTGTCATCAAGTATTACGGTTTATTTGGATCCGCCGGCAGAGGCTCGTACCTGTAAAGCACGGGCCGCCTTTCGTAGCCTGTTGCCGTTGACTGTCGTGTAGGTTCGGCATATCAGTGACTCTGAATATATAAGCATTTCTGGAAGTGCAGGATGTCATCCTCCATAATTTTCGACATGCGTCCAACTAAGATGCAGTACGGTGTGTAGAATTCTGCACTTGCTCCAGATTCGTTCGTGCTCAAGGGATTATCTATAGTTCGTCTCGGGAACTCGGGCTTGAAGGTATCCAAGATCATTCTAGGATGTATGTCCTACGGCGATCCCGCCTGGCAAGGATGGGTCCTTCCCGAGGAAGAAGGTATCAAGCATATCAAGGTTGCGTTCGTACAGTCTTCGTCTGTACTATTCGTAATATTAACATGATTCTTAGCTATGATGCCGGAATCAATGCTTTCGACACTGCCAATGTGAGTATCGCAGCAATCTTCAATGCTCTTGACTGATCTGTTTTTTTTGCCAAAGGTTTATTCTAACGGACAGTCTGAAATTATGCTCGGGAAGGCGATCAAGCAGCACAATATTCCGCGCGAAGAAATTGTCGTGATGACCAAAGTGCGCCGATGCCGCCTAACCACATCGAAACGGCGCTGACTTATTTTCCCAGGTCTTCTTCACAGTCGCGCAAGACCCTTCAAAATTGTATTTCGCTCCTGTCGATAGCGAAAAGGATGGATATGTAAACCAGCATGGTCTCAGCAGGAAGGTTCGTTCGCGCAATGCATTTCTCTGGAGACAAGCATTGAAGTCATTGGAAGCACATTTTCGACAGTGTCAAGCACAGCTTGGAGCGTTTGCAACTCGAATATATTGATGTCCTTCAATGTGAGGGCCATTCCATTGCTTTTCTCATTCGACGATTCTCTAATACCATATTTGAAGGCCACAGATTCGATCCCGAGACGCCAGTCTCTGAAACGGTCAGCCGATCTTGGTGCAATGTCAGTACCCGCGCTTATCATGCATTCGCGAAACTAGATGCAAGCTCTGCACGACGTCGTCAAGGCGGGATATGTCAGATATATCGGCATGTCTTCTTGTTACGCATGGCAGTGTGAGTTGCCAGCCTTGTCTTGCCACCGCGTACTCACCATCCGGTCGGCCACCAGTTCATATCATGCAAAGTATACTATCTCTTGATTCCCGCATCATCGAACTAATGCCTGGTCGTAGATTATGCAATTCAACATAATTTGACTCCCTTTATCTCAATGCAGAACCATCACAGCCTTCTTTACCGGGAAGAAGAGCGTGAGATGTTCCCCACTCTCAAGGTAATGATCCCACCATTGTGCCTCTTCTCAAACTTTTGTTCAAGCCATTCGCACGACATAGCATTTGGAAGTCGGGGCCATTCCATGGTCTCCTCTGGCTCGAGGTATGCTCACACGGCCCATCCAGCAACAGACCAAGCGGACGGAGACAGATCCGTAAGTGATTTAGCATGAACAACTGCTTCTAGTACATTCATCCCACATCTTCGTCAGCTGGGCAACAATCTACAAGGCCAGCGACGCCACCGAAATAATTATCAACCGGTGCGTTGTTGTCGTGTTTTCTCTACCGCGGTTCGGCTAGCTGACGTTACCGTAGCGTTGAAGAGATAGCGAAAAAGCGCGGCATTTCGATGGCTCAAGTCTCCGTTGCATATTCCATGGGTAAAGAAGGTCCGGCGTCTGTTGTTTTCGCACACTCTGCACTTGCTTAGAACATCGTTATAGGCATCTCTGCTCCGATTGTTGGAACGACATCGGTGGCTAACCTTAACGATCTTATTGGTAGGTCGTTGGAGTTTTCTGTGGACTGTCCCTGCTGATAGAATGGCGATCTAGGCGCCATCGAGGTCACATTGACTGAAGAAGAAGTCAAGTATCTGGAAGAGCCGTACAAGCCCCTCCCAATCATCCACTGAGAAAGCGGGCTTTAAATAGGGCGTGCGAGACGCTGGGATGTCACCGTTCGTAGTAAGCTTCTCCATCTTGGTTCCTAGCCCTTCTTTTGCGTTTACCACCACGATGTTACCTATCATTTCTTCTTTTAGTCGCAATTTAGTCTCATCCGGATTGAAATTTAGACAGCTTTTCAAAAATGAGGCACGAGTGATGCCAGCATTTCCGGATAAACAGTCCCACCGAAGTCTAAAGACTTCTTTTTGCTCCCCGTTATCACCCAAAACTACTACCGTCTCTTTTAGTGATAATCCTCATAGTAAACGATAAGGATGTTGAGGAGCAGGAACAGCTCGAGGCACAGTTGAAGATGCCTGCCTAAAGAAGCTTCTATGGATGCTCAGGGCTTTTGAAGAGAGTTTGCAGATCAACGCACCAAAAGCATCCTGTTGTTACGGTACTCAATTATAATTGACTGTTATTACTAACCACACTTGAAGGTTTCGTGTTATCATTCAGCTTCCCTAGGGCGTAGAATGCCTCTCTGTTGATGCTCTGTTGTGCCATTGAGCGGCATATCGTTCTCAAGCTTGCACACCAAGTCGAGCTAAAACTGCGATACTTCAGTATCTATTCATAAAGGATATGCTAATCATTGATCCTCTACCACGACGAAGAGTTGATACGAGTACGCGTTCATTGATATGCAAAACGGCTTCTTACCGAACCACACTGTCACGAGGACGGCATAGGAAGATCGCAGAGGAGAGGATGATACGGTTGGCAACCCACCAATGGTCAACGTGCACGATCAAAGACAGTAAATGCCCGAGGCTTAGTCTCTCTACGAATGCGTCAGAACAAAAATTAACAACGATTGGAATAAAAGCTACATACGATCACGACATTCAACAAACTCGCACCCTCAAGGAGAAGACAGCGGCATCCTTGCCTTATTCGGTTTGTCTTGTCGAACCTGATGTTTCCGACTGATGAAACATCAGCAGGGTCCTGAAGCATGCGAATGGACCAGTGGACGTACATCGAACGATTCGCCGGCTTCGATGGTCTTGGGAGAGGAAAGACTGTTGGTTGAAGGTGGGGTGGGGAATGTGCAATTAGCTGCACGACGGTTGGGACGTGTGTTGGCGACTACAAGGAGTGCAACGATGACATCTGTTAATTCTCTTATAGGCAAGAAAGACAAGGACAGATGAATATGTACCTGAGAGCTCAGTTCGCTTCAACGATGGCGGTCTTGGTACCGGATCGAACGAAAATGATATTACAGGTAATAAGACGTCCCCGGAGATAACCTGTTGACTTGTCCTACTGCGACTGGCAGCGATCCGAGAAATGTTGTTGTTCATTTTCACCTTTTCCCGTAGAGCAGGAAATGAGTCGAACCCTCCGACTCCCGCCAGACGTGGCAAGGCATGTTGGGAACCTGCAGACGCTGACACAAAACAATGGCTACATGATAAGTGTAGACCCTAGACTGGGCAAAAAGATCAAAACCATCTCCCAGCTGTCCGAGCAGAAATTACAACTGGTGCTCATAAGGTAATCTCCACGAACGTTTCTCTGTCCTGGCTTGGCTCTGCCAAAGAAAGCAGGTCGGAGAAAACTGTTGGGATTTTGCCGGAAAGTTCTAGAAAGGGCAATCCGGCATCATGCCGAGAGTCGATGAGTAAGCTCGAGAGAAAGAGAAAGTTGTAGTAAATTCTAGATATAAGCCTGGAGAGTATAAATACAAGCTCTGTAGGAGCTGTAGAATAAGAAGTTCATTCTTTCTGGCCTTACCAGCCTGGAGTCTACCCTGCACAGCACTGAGGATTTCCAACAAAAACTGCTCCAGTAGCTATCTCTTCTGTTGTATCCACAAGGTCAGACCAACAGTAGGTGTTCGATGCTTGACGGAAATCCATGCAAGATTTCTCTGATTTGTAGGCATGTGGTCTTGCAGATGGTTAGAGGTCTTCGGGAAAATCCATGCCAGCGTATTAGCTCAAACAACCGATGCTGTTATTATTAACTGGTATAGGAGAAAGTAACACCTGCGGAGGGACATCAGCACAGGCCTCTTTCTGGAGTCTTTGGTTTTATCTGTATACGATTCGCATTCGTGGACAATCTTCGGCTTCATGATTGTTGCGCGACGCGTAGATACGCCAACTCAAGGGACTGAACCTTGGCTGCAAGTACGTGATCAGGGATTTAGGGCGGGCTATCTTCATATCTTAGCTCCGGAAAGCAGATTGCCGCTAACATCAAAAAAAGAGACTTTATTTGGTACGTCTCCACAAACTGCACTGTCTAATCCTGCGCTGATGGCGCTCCCGTAAGTTAGACGTATTTTTCGATGTCATTCAGAGTCAAAGAGTGAGGAGCAACGGTATCGGTGGATAGGTGTTCATCAGAAAAGGCGCAGCTGCTGGATACTAGGACTTTGGGGTCTGCTGCGTAGCTTAGGCAACGAAACCCGTAGAACACGCAGCATTCTGCTTCGTCAATGTGGGTAGTGTTGGTAAGCAAAAGGATCCCAAGGAGCGCAGGTCGTTCGTGTTACTCTTTGACAATTCCAACGGTGAATATATGCGCCTTGGATGCTCGTAAATACGTCAAAAAGGAGAGGATTAGTTGGCCTGAAAAGCCGGGAATCATGGCCCTGTATAATACCCTAATGGCGGAGTTCAGTAAACTTTGTGGGCCAGTGTAGTGGAAGAAGCCTACTGACAGAGCTTATACGAGTCCAAATTTCCATTGTCATTGTCGACGACGGCCCAATCGTAGAGAGACAATGCACAAAGCCTCAGGATAGCATACATTGGGCCAATTCATTAGTCTGACAAGGTAGCAAGTAAATATGTGCGAAGTATGCGCCTGGGGATGGTAGAGAACAATTACGTTCGGCTCCGCGGCATGTTGTGCCGAATGACCTCGTAAAAGAAAACTCCGTCACGCCGAATCGCAGCCGAACAACTTTGCTTTCCTCTGACCGCAATGTTCTCGCTGTTTTCTCTTCAATTTTATTTGAGGTACAGAGATTCTGGTCCGACCCGAAATAAGCCTTTAACTTTAAGTGAACTGGACTTGCACGGCTCGCTGTCGAAACCCGTCCATGCTGTTTCAAGTTCCACTGCCTCTCAGATCTTCTGCAACTATCCATTGGTCCCCTCCTTTCGATAACGCCACATCGTTTGATCACGATTGTTATACAACTTGGAAGTATGCCACAAGTTCAAGGAAGAGCGAGACAGGCCTTTCCAGGTTTGCCTTTTTCACTACTACTTGCATATGGATTATACTGATATTACGACAGTCTACTTTATTACTTTCAGGCCAGCGACAAAAGTACTGACAGAAATCAGAAAACTAAGCAGTGATAAGCCTATTTATTTCCATCCCTATATCTGTGTGTTTCGTCACGAAACACCAGGAATACCTATGTAAGTCGGATCGACAGTGATTTATGCGCGGAACTCAAATTGAAATATCATCGCGTAAGTCATACCAAATCAGAAGGCCTACTTCCGCTGCTTCTTCGTCTACTCGATATCAATGCCCTTTTCTGTTAGCGCAATGTCTTACGGATGGTTTGTAGTACCTGTTGTCTGGCGCAACCTGACCACGCAAAGAAACCGTTCCTGCGTTGCGCGTACGTTACACATCCAATCTCAAAAGCAGAGCAGAGCAGCTCTGTTTGCAGGAGAGTGGGCCCTAGGTCCGGGAGATCATCTCCGTAAATCCTAAAGTTCGACAACAATGAGTCAGGTTCCCTAGATGGGGCCATCGTCGTTACGAAACCAGTGCCACATCTCCTTTCTGAGATGTCCCTGCATTTTGGAGGGATTTCCAGCTGCGATACCGTCTAGAGGGACGGTGATCAAGAAAAACAAGCGATGCATTGACTCTGTTCTTCCCTTCGATGTTAGCTCATCAGTTGAGCTGTACTCAGCAGCTTCTTCGATCCCATCTCGACCAGGGAGGTGGACATCACAGGACGTGCTTCCTCTCAACAAAGCTGTCACTACGACAACCGGACAGGCCCGATTGTAGGACAAAAACTGTCAATTCCGAATGGAGTGTTCATTAACGAGTCGACGACCGGCTATCATAGCTATGCTTCCGCATATATTCTCAGCTCTCGTCCGCGAAAAGAAGTCTTACGGGATGCAGAAATTTTTACTGGTCACCCAGAGAGTGCAAGTGCAAGGAAGTCATGAGAACGTATTTTGTCGTTATCTAAGGTAAGGTCATTCGTCTGGTACAGCCAAAGGGCGGGGAATTCATCAACTTATCCCTGGTTTCAGTTTTGTTTAGGCCCGTCGTACGCAGAGCGGAGATAAATAGATGTGTCTTTCCCTTAAATTCCCCCCCTCATCCTAACTTCCTAAATCTTCATGATTGTAGCATGCGATATCGTACATCGCGCTTGTCATCGAGACATTTGAAATATTTCATCTCATTGGCGATTTGGAGAATCACTGAGCGAGCCGCGGCGCCCGATTGAAGGATATGTCTTTCACCCAACTCGGATGCTGAGGATGAATTTTAGCTCAGTGCCATTTTACGTGATCTAATCGTTCTCACGAAATTGAAACGCCAGAGACAATATGCTCTCTGCCTACCTCTAAAGATAAAGATTGCCTACAAGTCGAATTCGTACTGTGCCGACCAAAAGACTTGCTTGGGCGTACGAAACTGAATCGTCTATGTGGGACGGGATATGCCGCACTTCGACAACTACGGATCTTTTTCGTCAACTCCGAAGTGTTTTCCCAGCATCACGCTGTCTACACAGAATCTCTTAGTGAGTTCTACTCAATACTTCTGATCTACGAAGAGGAAACATAATATCTTGCAGTAAATGAAAGAACATTAAATATTCCGACATTTTAATGAACACAGTACCAAGTCGGCAAGTATCATTTATAGCTTCGGTGGTTTCAACTTTCTGATCACACTGATAGCTTCGTAACCGGCGGCTTTTTCCCCACATCGCCAGCTTCCAGATTTCTTATCATGATCACTCACATACAACCTCGTGTGGTGATCTGACTGGGAAACCCAAAGTTAAACATATCTTCACTTGAAACGTGGGAATCTTCGGGGTGTAGTCTACCACTAGCGAAGCGCTACAATTCTTAGGGTGCCGGTGCGAATACAATCGTTCTTTTGTCCAAAGCTGACCGCAAGCAGAAGCTTGCGTGTGCACACATACTGATAACGGAATGACATTCGTCCCAAATCAACCTCCGTGAAAATGCGGTGGTCTCCATTTGTTCAAGTATCACTTACTTTGCGACAATCTTACATGTACATGCACCCCCAAAAGAAGCGGTGTGTGTCGTATCTTCCTCTGCATACATCTTTGATACATCTCCTCGAGGTTGATTACGTCCGTTGCGTGGGACCAAGGCTTCATGATCATGTGCTACGTAGACTGCGCCGGCATCGAGAAACTCAGCATTTCTTGGTGTATATTTTTGTCGGACCCTTGAAAGCTCTGCGTTTCCCAAGGCTCTCTTCCCTCGCCCTCGCCCCTCCCCTGAAATTACTTCTGCAGTGCGTTTTCCAGTAAAGCGTCTCAGTATCATCACTTACACGATTATTTCTTCCGAAACTGCTTCTTCATAGATTGCCGATCCAAATGACATTCTGATCCCAATGCTGATCATACCTTCTTTCACCGAGATCCGGCTCTTGCGATACGCTTCAGCTTCTCCCTTGAACCACGAAGCTATCTTCTATCCTCGTACCTTTACCTTCTCGTATCGAACTCTTGGATTGTCAAGGAAACTTGCCGCCGAGATGACCATGTGCCATTTTCGCTTAGTTTAGTTTTCTGTGGGTGACAAGGGGGGCACCGTTTCAACGACAACTGAGGCTTTAATCCGTCAGACAACACGTTGACGATTATTCAGCAACGTATTTAATGAGGCAACATTTGTTCCAAAGCACAATTTCAGACATCCAACACCGTCTAACTGTCCTCCATCCGATCGTCATACTTACAGCGATGCAAAATCCTTACGACGTTTGGAGCGCGCCTTCCAGCAGTCGCCAATCATCTGATATCCCACCTTCGATATATGGCGCGTTACCATATACCAATTCTCCTGTGGCGCCGGGCAGTATTACATTCCACTTCGCTCGTCTCAATCCCTCAATCCTCAATTCTGTCGTGCTTGGGCCCGACAACTGTCCTAAGTTCCATATTGTAACTGAGTCTTCTATGCCTGGATATACCATTCTGAAGGCCGTCGACGGAGGAAACATCGGGATGATTCAATGGAAGCCCGACGATAGTCAGATCGAAATCCGAGGCATCATGCACAAGCGAGCAGCTCGAGATTTTCTCCGCCTTTCAGATGACAACAGGTGAGATTTACATTACATTTCCACCTGCTCTTGCAGTCTAATAAAACTGTGCAGATGCAGAATTATGTGTGTTAGGGGCAAGGATTATATCTGGATCTCGGAGCAGGATTGCACATGCGTAAGCTCATCGTGTCAAGTACAACACACTTCTCTAAATTTTTCTGTTCATCATTCACAGATGTACCTTGGGGGTGATGTGTCGTCCAAAATATTTGCCAAACTCACTCGCGACCAGTCGTGTTTTAGATTAGTGATGGCTGCTGAAGCTATATCAGCAGGACTTCTACCGTCTGCTATATTAGCGATAATTCTGATCCAAAGCGGAAAGGCTTAATATTGATTATAGACCTCGAGACCTTCCTACGTCCGAAATAATAATAATAATAATACTTGGAGATTTAGCTGGTCATATAACCTCCCCGCACAACCCTCCCTAATAATTGACTGTAACATTGAGTCGGCCAGGTTAAGGCATACCGGGCTTTAATACGCAGCCAGATGAGTCAACACTTTTGGAAAGGAATGGAATCGGTCACCTGTACACTGGCAGATGGTGAGAAGGAGCGCCAAACCTCGGCAGAATCCGCACGACCTGCCGCCGGCAGATCGTAATCACCATAGCTACGCTCCGCTTTACCCACCACTTACTTTTTGTCCTGTAATTGGACGGATCAGTGGTGTAGCTTCAGCAGTTCACTAGGGGTAAACTTTCTTTCCATCCATAGCTCTCGTCTAGAGTGGGCTGTAAACTTCAGAGTCTGAAGTCTAAACTCACGAGAAAGCGCGACAGCTTCTTTTGTCTGTTCTGTTTACGACATCGTCATCGCTCAGCGAACATCTGCCGCAAGCTGGGTTATTTGTGAAAATGGGAATCAAGGACTTGTGCTTCCCGGTGATTATCGGCCTGGAGAAACGTGAGATATTCGAGGCTGGTCGTTACTAAATCAATCACTCAGCTATCTTAAGAATGGACCCACGTCGTACCCCGTCGACTTTCTCAATGCTTGTTACGACTACCGCTGAATACATGCATCTGGTGACTATGTGGTGACGCTATGCCTCGTTATGCCGACTTGATAAATATCGCTTCTACTTTCTACAACATCCTATGATTATCCAAGTACGGTATATCTATCCATCGTCCATTTGCACCATGGTTTGTCCTATGACCTTAGTCTGGAACGTGTATGGTGACGACAAAGATCCCTATATGAAAGACCTTCGAAGCAGCCTAGTTACAAACAACATTTACTATCGACCTCCTCACGACCTTTCTACGGCGCTTGTTACCAACTACAGCTGAATACATGCATCTGGTGACTATGGGGTGACGCTATGCCTCGTTATGCCGACTTCATAAATGTCGCTTCTACTTTCTACAACATTCTATGATTATCCGAGTACGGTATATCCATCGTCCGTTCGCACCGTGGTTTGTCCTATGATCTTAGTCTGGAACGTGTGTGGTAACGACAAAGATCCCCCATATAAGAGACCTTCGGGGGAGCCTAGTTACCTACCATATTTACTATTGACCTACTCCTGACCTTTCTACGGAGCAGCAATGTCTAACCCATATGCCATTCGCAGACTATTCGCCTACGCTTGGCTTGTAAGGGCGCATAGCGTCTTTTCATATACTGTTCTGACTTCACTGCACTCTAGTGGGCCGTCGCTGCCGTTCTACTGGGACTCACTAGCTACAGGATCCACACAACGGAAAGCATCCGCCGCCACAGCTTTTATGGTTGGTACGGCCCTTTGTTGTCCTTGCTCATTCCTACTGACCATCTTGTGACAGAACCCATCATCGTTGAACTACTTGCTTCTGCTTGTCTCACTATCGTTTGGACACCTATCGCGTATGATCATCCCTTTTCATCCGTCAAGAGCGAAGCTCTGATATCTTGATAGTGGCACCCTCGTTCTTAGTGAATACAGTACATCGCATAGGAGCAGTAGTTTCCGGACAGAGATGCTCGGATCCTTCGCCTTATGGGTGATATGGTTGGTTGGCGCCGTCGACACGACAGTAAGTACATTGGAATTCATGACACTTGACGGTTGCTAATTGATATATCTTCATGTCAGAACCGAATCATCCCTGGAGAGAACTATTGCCGTCGTGGAAAGCAGTGCCGGATCTTGACCACAATTCTCGCATTTTCTTGGATTGGGTGGTCTTTCTTGACCATCATCGGCGCCCTGGGCTTGATGTATTATGCGCATAGTTCTGGACAGCAAGCGCCAATTCGAGATCGTGAGAAGGCTGCGGAGGCCGCTGGTCCTTCATAATTTTTTTTTACGAGGTGACTGGTTGTCACCGCCCTAACGACTGTTCGATGATTTCGTCCTCCAATCGCTATTGCAGTGTATATTAGTATTTCTGTGGAATTAGGCAAATTGATGTATGATTTCTCGTTTTACAAAGCCTTGGTCATTTACTCCGATACTTTCACTCAAGCGTCAAGACTTTTGGACCCATCATGCCAATCGAATAAAGGAGTAATATGAAATATTTCAGTCACTCAACTATTACTGTTATATCAATTGCGACTCAATCATCGCGGACAAGCCTACACATACTATTACATCACTTGACATTTCCATAGATCTAAAATAAAGTATATCATAGCAGAGGCCGGATAGTAGAGATACATTCGAGAAGAATGCGTCGCCAGTTAGATGCATACATCTTCAAACATCGAGCAAAGGTCTGTCTTAACAGGGCGCTGCACATGGTAAGTGCGAATGTCTTCGCATCCCATATAAAAACATTCAATACGTACGGCAACTACCTGACTTCCCGCGGCAAACTCTGCACGCTGATAACGGGATGAGCATTCTTTTTTTGACTATTGATATACTCATTTCGATCGGCACATCTTTTGATACACTGATGGGCTAAGAAAAACGTATCCTATTAATTCACTGAGGAACGCAGAGACCACTCAGATTTGGCAACTCTGCAGCGCGAGGCTTATTCGACAAGGTCTGGGTTGTCGCTCACCGCCAAGCGTCAGACCCCACGTTGGTTTGCGAGCTTCGAAGACGAAGATATCAAAGTGAAGCGCCAGCACTCAAGCTTGCTGTTGCTATATCGTGAACAGAGTACGCATGCATGTTTGGCACATTCCTTCCGAGTCGATCAAAAAAGTCCCGACAGGAAGATTGGGTCGTGGCCGTGAGTCCCAAAGTGCGGTAACGAGTCACCTTCCCTTCGCTTCGCACCACTAACATGCCAATTCCAGCAGGACAGTCAAAGCATCCCACCCCAAGTCGACGTCCGGATCGGATGAAGCAGAGAAAACAAACAAACACAGTACTAGGCATCTGTACTTCGACCCATGACCTTGGTCACTTATCGCTTCCGACATCAGCCTTCCTCCCTCGACAACTGACTATGATGGCTATGGCACGAAACCCTTCGGACTGGGTGTCTCTCGCTGCATCTAGCGATGACCTCGCAAAAGGGCTACATTATTTCCTTTCTATCAGATTGGAGATGCCGAAAGATCAGAGAGCTCTCAGGAGCAAAAGTACTGATTATCGTGGAATGAAGATCGAGGATATGATAAACAAGGATTTCGGGAGCTAAAGTGGGCTCCAGCGATACCTCGACACCAGAAACAGCAACTTGAAGAAGAAAAAGGCTCGTGAAGCTGACCTCGCTTGATGAAATGGACAGGCATATCAAGATGATGGAGATGAAGATTAGGCGACCGATAAAAAATTTCATGGAGAGCGTGGATGTTTAATTCGATGACGTTTAGCAGCTTACGAAAGGTCAGTTGCGTGAAGAAAGTCATTTGCGCAGCGTCGACGGTGTTTGACGATCACTGAGCGAATTTTCTCATTCTACACCCTCGATGCACAGTGGAAGGCGATGAAAGAATTAAACAGGCTTTTGTGAGTTGTATCGCATTATCCCAATATGACGTTCAACAAATTCCGGTAGCTCTTCATCAGTGAGCCCGGACGTGAACCCAGCAGACTACAGGTCACTCTCTGGGGTGAATAGGGGTTATACTGCGCCGACAATACCTCGTAGAACGGTACATTGTTCGGAGCAGCAGCCGGTGACCGATCGTGCCCAAGCTACTCTTCCCCCGGATCTACACCACCCGGAAACACCGGGTCCCGACAGAGACGCACCCTGTCGCGCCAAGTGCATCTGACATGTCCTGGGCCACCGACAAAGCGGACACGCACTTGGGGAAACAGAGTCCACCTGACCGTGGTCAAAGAAAGCCAATTTCTCGCTCAATGTCTATAGGAGCCGTCCGAACAATCTCCTCCATCCAGCCAAAATCACACTAAGCGCTCAAAGAGGCCCGCAGTTCCCCACGAAGGGGCCTGCACAACGCAAACGAGCTTCATTCAAGCCCGCATCCTCTGACATCCGAGGAGCTGCGCATGATGACGTCGAAACCGCTGAGAGGATACGTAGTCGCCCACGCGACTTCAATATTCCAGCATCAACTGATCGTTGTTACGCAGGCCAGTCATTACAGACCAGCAGCATGGATCTCATCTGGGAACGGACCGGGATAATGACGGGTCCGATGGGCGTCACCAGCCGCTAGGCGACGAGTTGGAGTGCCCGAACCCTATGGCCACGGAAATCCCCCGAACAGGTGTGTCCGGTGGACTATTCTCTGAGATGATCTATGGACTAAAGATGAATTAGGGATGATAATGGGCAAATATTAGACGAACCTCGCGATCGGTTATCAGCAGCTGACCAAGTGCGAAAACGATGTTCAAATTTCTGCCACAGGAGGTTTAGAGCCGTCAACAGGCGCCGAGCGGAGGCCTCGGTCTGGGTAAGTACTGGATGCCTCGGAAAAGGTTTCAGCGCTGAAGGGACATCAGCGTTGCTCCAATCCACCAGGGATTAAACGAACCTGTTATTACCGAGTCATCGCCACCACCATATGAGGCCGTCCTTCTGCAACAAGACGGGTTCGGGTACGTGTATCTATTTCAAATGGCGCGAATATGCGGCTAATTCCAATAGCAGAGTAGCGTCCGTCCGGTAGCAATAACGTGGAAGAGCGCTCATCGCCGGCCGACGGAAGGAGACGACACGTCACCGCGCCCGTACCTCCGTGGGACGCAGATCTAGTCGATAAATTCCGAAACGACCCTCGCGGCAGAAGTTCCTGCTTGATAGGATTGCCGATGCCTGCGAGTATAAACGTCCAAGCTGAGAAATACAACGTATTTTCCATTAGGGCGAAGTACAACAACCAGCAAATGATTCAGAAGCTCCGGTACAGCGAATTCGACGCCGGATGTGCTGTAGGGCAAGACATTGAAACCTACTTCAAAGCCAATCCCCACCGGATTCGCACCTGATTTTTGCATGTTACTGGCAAGATGGTATTCGGTGGTTCGAAATTGTTCAGACACTGACGTACGGTGAGATGCCGAGAATGATCAGTTTCAGTCACAGAATGGAGAGGAGTCTATGAAACACGAGTTGCACAAATTCGCTTGTATTTACACGCTTATTTTGCTGCATTCTATCATGAGATTGTAAAAATTCAAAGTCTGTTCAGAACTCACCGTTATGCGAGTAGTTTACCGACATCTTTGAGTCGCAATCATAACCTGTCGCAGAACTATTTTTTTTGTCCTAGCGTTTCTCCTTTCAGGATACGTGACGATACTGATGTTTTGAACATATTATGGATCAGTGATCGTGCATGATGTATCGATGATATTTCGACACGGTTTGCAAATCCGTCCCGTTCTCGACGCCACCATCGAAGTAGTATGTTGGAGAGAAGCAAAGAAGGTTAGAGTTTCGTCGCGCGCTTGGACAAAACATAAACAAGCATACTCGGTCCGACTCCCGACCTCCGCCGTTTATCTTCAATCTGCCATCGAGACCGTCTGGTCTGGGATTGTTCTAGTCTTCTTTTATCGTTACCACTGTTCTTCATTCTTGTCTTCTTTGATCTAGAGGTCTCTAGGCGTCTCTTGCACAGTGATAAATATCTGCTAGCGTCCTCTCCTGATTTTCTTCTTCACCTTCGCGAAGGGACCACACGTATGGCACATGTACCGACTAATTCATCTAGCGGCAGCATTTAAATCAAGAACTAAACATCATCCCAAAATCTCGGACGCCTTGTCTAAATGCGGCTGGCACTTGTTCAGATCTTCCCAATCCCATTCATTTATCGTTATTGACAATTTCTTCTGGCTCTGCGGAAATAAAATCTTGATATCTGTATTCGAGGCCATGAAAATTACACCCTTTTTTCAAAATAAGCACTTGATATTTCTGCTTCATCGTCGGGGTCCAGGATCCTGTATTCTCCCATTCCAAGTATCCCCGAGCCAGCGCCACCCGCACCGACTTCCGAATCCACTACTGATTCCGCCCATACGACCTCTATCAGCGCCGTTCCGACACCTCTCTCCCCCCCACCTTGGATCACAAGTCTGATGTCAAGGTTGTGAAGGCCGGAGTCTTGCATGTGGCGCAGTGATTCGGAGGGCATAATGCTGATGCTGGGAAAGAGCTCTGGGGGCTATGCGGACGATGTTATCGTGACTCACGCGGCGTCATATTCGCCGCAGCACCCTGAGTCAATCATGCAGAGCATGTAGGGTCGGTAAGTAAATTAACCAGATGTCCGAGCTTTTGAGCAGATCCTACATTGTTACATTGCAACCTTATATTCCTCCCATCAACATTTTTCGGTTCGACAGCGCTGGTCGCGCTATCGGGTCATGCGGCGCCGGCGCGATTGATACGGGTGCGGCATGAAAAACAAGGAAAAAAAAAAAACAGGCGTCGGGAATCGGTCTTTACTCCGATCAGAAGATATCAGAAAGTATACAAGTGTGTCCGTTCGCGATTTCCTGTTTACGATGATGGATTCAGACAAGTCAACAATGGGCCCGAAAACCCGAGAGCATTCTTTCTGGAGATAGATAGCAATTGAAACAACAGTCATTTGATATGACGGGTATTGAATTCGACAGATTTCTGACTTTGTTATAAGGGAAAGGTTCAAAAGCGTATCAATTAAAACAGAGATGATTAACGTTGAAATGATTTTTTAAGCTTCACTCAACCGGTGTCAACATGAAAGGAACACAGTTCGAGCATATTCACCAAGGACCAATTTCCTTGAGGTGACTCACCTGTCATGTGACAGCATATGAGCGGCAAATTTTGCACAATCTTCATTATTACGTATATGTAAATACAAAGCGAAACGATACAGACATAATCTTTCCTAATGTGACGACTACATGTTTAAAAACAGAAAGAGATAGATTTTGAAAACAAACCTACAATAACCGCGCGACAGACATGTAATACTTGCAAGTGACCAGTAAGTAACGGTATACTACCTATCAAAACTCCTTCGTGGAGAGGTCCTCGAAGTCCCAGTGCCAAAAGTACAAATCCAGAGGTGAGAATTCCCGCTAGCCGGATTGAACGACTGACCTTGTCATCGCAACTACAATACGAGTGACACGCTCTACCACTGAGCTAAGAGGGACAACAATAGCTACTCCTTATTGGATCACTATATGGCATACCTCTTCCCATTCGAGTTAAATTAAATCCTTTCCCCTCATCGTTAGTAACATGCAGCTGCCATCTCCGCGATGCACAAAATAGCGAAAGAAAATTTTTACCTCCGATTCACCGGTCGTTTCACGGCTTTGGGGTTTGAGTTTCAACTCGCTAACACTGCTTATCTACATATGCCGGCAGGTCTGCGCAGTGCGCTTCACGTAAGGCCTTCATTAATCGTCCTGGTTATGTACGTAGTACCTGAAGATCACGTACCTGATATCGATTTATGAATCGGTGCAAGTGGAGACTATGTGCTTTATCTCTGACTGCATGACCCTTGGAAGTCGTTGCTACATTGTTTCAATGGATGTAGGCTTTCTCTAAGAAGGTTTTAAAAGCTTGATGTCTTTTGGTTCGCTGTCTGGACTGGATATTGTTAAAATTCTGACTGAATCTGACTCAGATCACAGCTCTGTTTCTGCAATCCAATTTGGAAAAAAGAAGCAGGATCACCGTGAATTCCCTCTAGCCGACTTGAACGACTGACCTCGTCATCGACACATAATCCTCAACATACTAGTGACGCGCTCTACCAACTGAGCTAAGAGGGAAACATGCATTGGTATGACAAACACACCTTCAAACCTCTCTGGTGCTCGTTATCAGAGGAAAAGAGCTTTCCAACTCCTTCCGTGATCTGGGGACATACATATCAACCCCCAAATCATCTTGGGGGCGGCGGGTGACATATACTGCTCCGGAATGTCATCCTCAGTAACATGTCTGATCCAAAGCACCCTGATCGAAGAGACTGAGGTTCGAGCTGGATGGAACCCGGCGGGAGGTGAGGCCGTACCTGATCAGGGCTCTATTAATGACACAAAGATCCAAGGAGGTGGATGGAGGTAATTTTGCGTTTGCACGGCAGCAGAGGGACTTGTGACTTGACGGCAATCTCTTCCTTTGGTGGGAACGGCGAAGCGGTGGGTGGGAGGATGAGGTTGGGAACCGCCGGCAATCGGGGGGATTTTTTAGGGTGAGGGATTGGGGGGACAAAGCTTATTGATGCATGGAAAGGGTGATAGACGTGGAAGCGGGCGGAGAACAAGGGATCTCGGGGCCGTAGCAATGGCTGCATGGAGGACGTGAGACTCTTGCTGGGAGTGGGTATGTTCCTGATCCTCTTGGAGGGTGGGCCTGATCTCGTGGTATGTCAAGCGCTGATCCGTGGAGGGGAGAACTTGGGAGGCTGGGTGTTTGTTCGTATGTCACATTTGCGGGGGTGGCCAGGGCGAAGACACGTTGTTCATTGTCAAATTCTGGAGAGTTAATTTTGAAGTTGGATGAAATGATGACGATGTGTCTCAGTTGGAATTTAAATTTGAAGGACAGAGACAAGAGTTGCACGACGATATGGGCTAGGGAAGCCGTCTGTTCTGTCGACCCGGGTCCCTGATCATCATATATATTGTTAGGAATATGTACATAAGAACTTACGGTGTTCATAAAACCAGGAGGGATTACGAGGCTACTGATCCGGAGACTGAAGAGAGTATACGTTATGGTAATATGATCCGGCACGGTGGGTATACGGAAGCGGTGGAGAAAAGTGCGTAATGACAGACAAGTCAATGAAAGGTGGATTGATACGTATCGCGGCATCAAAATTTCTGGTCCCAGAACGGGCAGGAAAAAATGCCGTATGGACGTACAAGACCATTTATACACCGTTGCGGACTGAGCCTGCCGTCAGACGACACAGATTAACGGGAGGGCGATTGGACGTGGCAGCCCAGACCATGCAGTTGGCTCTGATCCGGCAAGAACAGCAGAATGGCTCATGACTGCGCGTGTACCCAGACACCCAGAAAAATGAAAATTCAAAAGCAGAGAAAGAAGAAAGAACCCTGGATGGGGGCATGCGGTACCTGATGATCTTGTTCCTGGATGGAGCATGGCTGAAATGGTCGGCAAGCGAGTGACAGGATTAGTTGCCACAATGTGAAATAAGATTTTGAAACCGTGAACAATTTTTTTTTTCCATGCTAGCTGTCTGGAGACAAGAGGCTGTTCTGCAAAGACAAGCCGTTGTGCGGGGGGGGGAATTATCGGGCAAGCATGTGGGACACGGCGGTAGAGAGGAACGATCTCGGGATGGTGATTGGAGGAGATAGCATGGCAGGCCAGGCAGGGCGCTCTGGACCAAATTTGATCTTTTTTGATCTTTTTTGATTCCGAGTTGCCGATGTGAGCAACGTGACGAATTGTGACCCTATCTGCATGTATTTGGTTGCGACATGGTCGGATCCGAGATACTGGTAGGTTCAAGCCTTTCAGACTCCGCTGCGACAATCAATGTACCTTAAAATCGTTCCTTTCAACAGAGTACCCATGGTTCGTGGACGTACTCCCTCCCCTGATCAGCCCAAGCCGCATCCGTCCTCGTCCTCGTCGTCTGACACGATGGCCACCATGGTTGTCCCCCCGCCATCTGCTGCAATCACCAAGCGCTACCGTCCTGCCCCCGCGAAAACGTTCCAGTGCAGGGGATATGGAGAATGTCGCATGGTGTTCAGCAGATCAGAGCATCTCGCGAGGCATATCAGGTACGGTGCCTTCACGTCCCGTTCCAGCATGTACTCATCGCGTCGCCAGGAAGCATACAGGAGAGCGGCCTTTTACTTGCCACTGCGGGAAGCAGTTTTCACGGCTGGACAACCTGCGCCAGCACGCCCAGACGGTGCACTCGGACAAGCAGGAGGACAACGAGCGGATGATGCGGGATCTGACGACGCTCCACGCCTCCATGGCGGCGGCCAACAAGTCCCGTGGGGCTCGGCGAGTGCCGCCCAAGGTGCCGGACACAATTCGGCCTGGCACAAGCACTGGATACGAAGGCGACACCTGGCACATATCGACGCCGACGTCGGCATCCAGCGATCACAGCGTCGCGCATCCGAATTCGGCTTCGGCGCCCTCTGCCGGACCAGGGAGTAATTCCTTTCGGTCCTTTCGTGACCCCCGGAACAGCCAGTCCTTTCGTGACCAACAATCCGTCGTCAGCGCGAACCAGTCCGTCCAATCATCCAACGCAAACGCCGTCCCCGCCACACTCGGCTTCTCCTCCCGCCCCGGCACCGCCAACGGGCCCACCCTCCCGCCGCTCTCATCCCTCATCACCTTCCCGCCTCCCCCCCAGTCCTCCTCAGGGAACGTATTATTTCGACGTCCCTCAACCGCTAACTCATCCTCATACCCTCCCTTCTTCCTTAGACCAGGCACAGCCCCAGCCACATCAACCCCCTATCAACAACTGGTATCTCCCTCAGCAGCAGCCATCGCAGCCGCAGAGTCTGAGTCTCCATTTTCGTTCCACGTCCCCGCTCAAGACGGAGCCGACTACCCCACCAATCCCTCTCTCGGGCCAGATGACACCGGCTCCCGACCACAGTCGCGACGGCTCTCGGTCATGGAGCTCTGTAATGATCAGCCAGCAGCAGCACCAGCAGTATTACCACAACTACGCGATGCAGCAGCCCCAGAGGGTTCCTCAGAGGGCGTATATGGGGCTTGAGTACCCGTCTTTTGGCGAGTACGAAGGATACCAACCGTATCAGAATGGTGCAAATGGGGCTTCGGAAAATGGGAATGGCTTCCGTTCTCCGAACGCCGGCTTTGAGGATTTCGGTAGCGAGAGCGGGTACCCCCAGCAGCACCAGCAGCAGCAGCAACCTCAACAACAGCAGCAGTGGTACAACAGCACGGGCGTGTATGGGTATTATGGTGATGGCGACCGCTGATAATAACTTTTTTTTTCGTTTTTAAATTGTTTTGGGCTTTCTCTCTTTTCATACTCACTTTTGCTCCCTCCTTCCAATGCCGCTCGTTGTTTCATCTCCTCCCCAAGTCAAGTTAATGTTATCTATATCGATATCCAGTTACTACTACTATGCTTTGTGTTTAATCGTTGTTTCTTCTCTCTTTTTCTCCCTCGTAAATACGCAGTGTGTGTGTGTGTACATATCCCCCTTCGTTTAGTTGATTGGTGGCTCTGGCTCTGTACATATTTAGTGTACGTAGGAGGGTTTTCCAATGATATCCGAAAAGTGTCCCGAGGAGGGACCGTGTTCTGTCAATTATTCCTGTGCTTGTCGAATGGACCGCATGGTATGGAAGTGTGATAGCCGGGACCGAGTGGGTAAATACTTTGAATGCCAGAGGTACCGACGAGAGAGGGATTCTCAGGTTCAGGGCTGCGTCCTGGAGAGGGTACCTGATTCACGGCAGTTTGAAGGTTTGGAAAGACACATTTGCATGGCATCGTAATAGAATAGATAGATAATAACTACTACCAAATGCTCTCAGCTCCCTCTTAGCTCAGTTGGTAGAGCGCGTCACTAGTATTTATTAATGACGAGGTCAGTCGTTCAAGTCGGCTAGAGGGAATAATTATTGGGTAGAATATCATTATATTGTCTATTTTATTTAGCTCATCAAAAATTAAGGTATGAAAAATATCCTTGCAATGAAAGATTTCGTCTACAGTGCTCTAACTTAAGGACTGAGCCCTTCTATAGTCCCATTTTGGCTATCGAAAATGCATCAGCCTCTGAAAGCGCTTGTCCCATTTTGTTAGAATTATCACAATTGTACTCGCGGTCATGCAGTATTCGAGGGTAGCCCACCGATCAATCTTTTCTGCGTGGACATGTTGCTCCACCCTGGGGAGGCTCGCTCACTGGTCGAAGCAAATGATGAACCCCAAGGTTCAAACATGTAACCTCATTTGAATCCCCGCAAAGAAAATCGCGGTGGAATACCGGCCAAGCGACGGAGATATCACTCATCAAACCTCCGAAGAGCAAATAATACAATACGTTCATGGAAAGTTGGTCAGAACTAATCAGAAGGTGAAGATGGGATTGTTATTAAGGAAGAACAAGTAGAATGACGTGTTGGGAACAAAGATGTGAAGATTCATCATATTTCTTTGTATAGAGATGGTTTGACAGTTATCTTATAGAGTACGATTACTGGATGTAGGAACCTTGAACAAATGAGAGATGATGGGAAAAGAAGACGTCGGATACAGATCTTTCGGTAACAATATCCTGAGCGAAGACGAGAGCGATAAAATTTAAAGAAGCTTCGGAGCCGGAGAAGACTCGTTGGGACATTATGCATTATGTGGTAAAGGAAGAGAGTAAGTAAGTACTAGACCAAGCGAATCCGAGTACTGAATCTGATGAGCCTGAGAGATGCGTGACAAATGTTAGATCTGAGATGCGGGTCGATATTAATATTCATACCGTGGGGGGTTGCGGCTGCCGATGAATACAAGGCGAGATGAATATGGGCGTTGTTGAAGTTCTGAATTTGATTTACCGGGCCGGAGGCCGCTGACGCTTGTCTTCGTACCACGACGATGGTGGGAAGCGGAATGCCCTGTCGCAGAGGCCGTGCGTCTCTTTCTATTATCTTCATTCCCGCGATCCAAACAGAGAACAAGCTGGGTCAGTATTTACACCAAGATTTTCATCGTATCGTCCGTACGATGCAAAGTCGTACAGAAACGTGCATACAATACCTGGTATGGCTAAAGCTTTGTTCGAATTCTCCTCATTTTATTTTATCAGGTCACAATATTTGCCAGGTTTTACTTCCAGAACGCTAACAAACCCACGAACAAAAATATCCCCTAGTACACCGCAATAACTGGGACAGAATGTTCTTCAACGTCCGAGAGCAGTCCCCATGACGCGTTTTTCTCTGGCTTTTGTCTCCTACCGGCGCACGAGGTCTGCAATGAACAGGACGTGTCCTCTGGCGGGATATCCATGAATCAGGTTAGGGAAAAATATTGGTCATAAGTTGTTGTTTTTCTCATGCTATTCTTATTCACAGTCGTCTCTCTTCCGGGCGCATATATGATGGTTGGTTCCCCAGGGCATCGCGTCTTATCACTGCTACAGAATGAAACGTTTCGTTCTGCTTGCTCTTACCGCGGCGTCGTTCGTTCATGCTAGGGTATGGAATGACACCGGCGTTGGCGCTGTCGTTTTTGAAGAGGCGTGGGCACCTCCTGAACTCGCAGCGACAGTGGGGTGAGCGTCATCTCCTAACAGGATGTTGCAAATACTGATGTAAAGAAACGTAGTGGTGCACCGGCTCTTGGTGCGCCTCGTGGTCTTTAGTGCATTGGCCAATCTAAATGAATATTATGACAGGCAAGACGTTAGCAGACCTTGAAGCAAATCTCGTTGATATCCATGATAAAAGGCTGGCGCTTATGGATAAGTTTGGTATCGACTTCGTCAGTGACGCTACAATTCTCTGGAGCTTCACTGAACTAAGAAACGAGCTACTCAGATGGTCCTCTCTTGCGCGCAGCCTTGCGTCCAAGGAGTATCTGATCCCGAAGAAGCCGCTGCAATGGCCGTGGATCTCAATAACAACCTAGCGGATCTTATTTCGAATAATACTCTCCGATTTGGGGCCTTCGCGGCCTTGGCTATGCACAATGCCACTGTGGCCGCACAAGAACTCAACAGGACTGTCAAAGAACTGGGTTTTCTCGGAGCATTAGTCAATGATTATCAGCAGTCTGGAGCGGATAATGGTATGTCTTCGTAGCCCCCGACGTAGCACGAGTTCTCTAATGAATCAGCAGACACACTCTTATACTATGATCAGCCGGAATACGATGTATTCTGGCAGATGGTGACCGATCTCGACGTACCTGTGTACTTCCATCCCAGAACGAATGTCGAGCCCATCCTGTCGCTCGTATATAGCCATGGCTTCGGTCTGGAAGGCCCTGCCCAAGAATTTGCAGCAACATTGTCGACCCATATATTGGGATTATGCACAAACGGGGTGTTCGAGTAAGCGTGTCTTTTCTTCCATTTGCTTTGCGTACACGTGCGATTAACAAATGTGGTCAGCCGGTTCCCAACTCTTAAAATCATTGTTGGCCATCTTGGGGAGAGAATTCCCTCGGATTTATTCAGGATTGATGAACGTAAGTCTTGGAACTGATATGCCATCTTTCGCGGTGTTGACTTGTCCGTTGAAGAACTCCTTCGTCAAGTTCCGTTGGGAATTCCGATGCAGCGGAATGTATCGTCGTATTGGCTCACCAACTTGTTTGAGACGACTTCTGGAAATTTCGCGACGGCCCTGTTGCAATTCCACGCATCCCAGATAGGTTTGGACAGGATTATGCATTCGATTGATTATCCGTTTGCTCTGATTGAAGAAGGCCAGGAGTGGGTCGATAGTCTGACAGATGTTTTGGGAGAGGATGAGCAACTGCAGCTGAAGAGGGGACTAGCGATAAGCATGCTGAAGTTGGACGATTGATATTGTCTGTTTTACGAGTGAGTGCGCGAAAGTATACAATTGTCTTCGCTTCGTTTTATCTTCGCCGGGTGTGATCTAATGATGCGACATGTCCCTTTTCACATCACCACTGGCAATCGGCCTCTTGCTTTGTGCGCGGGCCTCATAAAAGCTTAAGGAAGCTTTTTAGGCATTCAATTGGCTATGTTTCGCGTTTCATACTCTGATTTCTACCATTCAATCCTCGAGCGGGACGCTTACCGTTCTTTCGGCAGTCAATGAATTTAGATATTCGGCGTTAACAAATGTTGAATTGATGATACAATTAACCCTTTAAGGTACGTTCCGACAGCCAAGTCTCGAGTCTCCAGAACCTCACTTGTTTTCAGAATAATCTAACCAGTCCAACCATGAATCAGACTCCAAATCCACCCTCCTGGTCCTCTTCATCATACGGTGGAGCATCCGAAAAATCACTCTGGCTTCCAGATTGAACTTCCAGTCCTCGTCGCACCAGATCTCTTTGACCGTGAAACGAAGGGCCTCATCCGCCTCATCCCTGGATACGAATGTTTCCTTGTAGACAACCTCGGGTGCCTTATCAAATTTCTGCAATATATGCATCATCCTGTTGCCAGGGTCATCACCATGGAGTGCTGCGACCGCCAACAATTGGTGCAATGCGTCCTTCCTGTATGCCATGTCCAGGGTGAATACCCACTCGCCTAATGCCTTTCCTCCTTTAATGACTTTGAAGGGTACACAATCTATACCATGGTTGACCAAAAACACCTGCTTGGGATTTCGTTGCTTAAGTGCGAACCAAGGACTATCATAAAACATCGCGGCAAGGTCTTCTTCTTTCGGCCTGGCAGACGATGACTGGCCCGCGTTTGGCTCGTCATGCTCTACGTTTCTTTTCCCGGGGGATGATGTATTTGGTGCGCGGCTGGAGCTATAGCGTTGTCTTTCAGATGTCTTGGGTGCTGCAGAACTCGGTTCTGAATGTTTCGTAGACGTCTCTCTGGTTCCGGTAAGGAGTTCCGAGTCTCCTGAACCACCGTCGTAGCTAAGAGACACTCAGTCCTCTTCCTTTGACATACAGATCAAGGGTCTTGCCACCTGAAAGGAGCCTCGGAACCGAGGTCGTCAAGTTCACCTAACTCGGCGGGACGTACGGCAGGATCGGGACGTAAATCTTCAGAGGCAGTGCTCGACTTTCCCGTGTTTACTTGTGGTGGTCGGCTCTTTTGTCCATTATTCGCCCTATTAATGATGTTACGCAGGTATTCTTTCAAATTCGAATGGAGCGTACTCTGTTTGGTACTTGTTACTCTGAATCGCTTCAAGAATGTCTGCCAGGGTGTTTCGTGGCCTACAAATAGCCACGTAGGGTTAGTTACACTCCTTTTTTGATAAGTTGATCGCTGACTTCGGTACTGGGGCATAGGCATTCACAAATTGATAAGGAGATCTGGTCCTTTCAATAATAATCGATGAACCTAATACACCCGACGCTGGATACACAGAGATGGGATCGGAGTTCCCCAAGTCCCTGTTACAAATTTCATCTGTGTAATCTAAAAAAATGACCGGAGGACGTACTCGACTTTGGCAATCCTCTTCTTCATCTCCTGCGTCAGAGGCTTTGGGTCATCCCACTGAGGGGCGATCAATCTCTCAAATTTATGATCTTGTTTCCGACTTCTGCAACCAAGATCAGGCAAATCGTGAATGTTGGTGGTGTCTACCTCACGCACAAATGAAGATCCAGGAGATCCAATGATCCCGACACTACTGATTCTGGCGCGGCGGGGAATATTCCTTGTGTGATAATTTTTACAGCCGATTGGGCGCAGATGAACTTCATTCCATATCTGCTTCTTTGTGAGTACGATGGAGGGGGTTCATAGCAAGCTTTTCTGTACTTACTCCTTATCAGATTGCACGGCCGTCGTTCTGCAAATACTATCCAAGTATTCCAAGTGATTGTTCATTTCGTCAAATGTGCTCAGGGCTCGCCGCTTTCGGTTCATTCTTGCCACCTCACTGGTCCACCAATCGTCAAATTCTCTACTCCAGAAGGTGCAGGATAGGCGCCTTCTGCCTTCATCGATATCGCCAGAGTCGTCTTCCTGAGAGTGCGAAGTCTGTAATATCGAGAGAAAATGGTGCAAGGAACGCGAGATGGTGATACAGGCGTTCAAATTCCTACTATCTTTCCGTCGATTTTCCATGATCGAGTGTGTGTGAAGCTAATGGATGTCGTATCGATAGCGGCGCCTAGGACCCATGTCACTGTTTCTTGATGCATCTCGGCATGTCCCATGGTTGGGCGCCTATATACTTTCCTACGGTACGTCACGTCTTACCTTCATTGGTCCAGTTTTCTGCTCATTGGAATAATAGGCAAGTGTGTTTTTGTAGTAACGGCATTTGGTACGTCTGTAGTCTGTAGATGCGAACCCTTTTGTAACGAAAATACAGGGGATCGAGATTCGAATTTCATTTCATTGCGTTCCTATATCGTTGTTTGGCACTTAAAAAGAGTACGAAGACACTTCTTTGGGCATATATTTGTAAGCTTTTAATGTGCATGTACCGTATACTTGGATGGGAAGTCATTTCCCACCACGCTAACCAGTCACAGAAGGAACGAGCACCAAATCTTATCTCGAAGGCACGATCATTAGCTCTTCGACATGAAGTGCCAAACCTTACCCTAGATCTCTTTAGATTCAAGTTAATTGGTGCGTCATGCCGGACATTAGAATGCTATTAATGACGGTGTCCCGCTGCCTTATCTGATTGGTCCGGAAATCCTGTTATTGAGAGACTGACACAGAAACGTACAAGAACACTGGAACGAATTAATCTACATTGCAATCCTCAGATCGTCGTTCCATCCTCTGACTTTGGCTTAACATGTCCTTCAGCTCATCGAACGTCACTTTACGTTCTAACCCGAACTTCCACTCTTCTTCAATATAGACATCGACAACCTTGTAATGAGTAGCACCCTTCTTTGTGGCTATCACCCGTTTATGGATAGAGTTCGGACGATGAAGGAAAGTTTTCACGAGGTCCTCGGCCGAGTCGCTGTCCGCTGGACGACATGACTGCAATAACTGTCGCAACTGATCCTTTGTATACGTCAAGTTGACCACGAAGGACCAGACGTCGCCCTTTATGCCTCCTCGAACCACCCTAAAGGGTACCTCGCAGTTTTCTCTGCGAAGCAAGAAGTATTGCGTCGGATTGATATATTTTGTTGTTATAGCGAAGAAAGGATCTCGTTGGAATCTTTCGACAAGCCCGAGGCTTTCCTCCGTAGTATTCTTGGTATTGAAATGGTACGGAGGGGGCTTTAGTGACAAGCAACTGGAAAGCGAAGGGCGATTTGGGGCGTCGCTATAGGTTCTCAATGGGTCGGCCTGAGGATTACTAGGGTTCCTTGTAAAGGCTGATGCTCTCGAGGTAGGTTCGCCCACTCTTCTAACTTCTTCTCTACTAACATGAAATCAGCTGCTATCCTTGAGATCACCGACGTCTGTGCAGACCTCAATAGGGGCTCCTCATCTGACAGGGTGGCATCGTCGAAATGGAAGGGACCGGTAGTAGAATCATCCGAAGTACCGGAATCAGCATCTTCATCCTTGTCGTAATACGGGTCGGACGACCTTCAAACCATGTTTAATGTGATATACAACAGTCGCGGTACATACGACGTACTGAAGATCTCTCTCGAATACATTGGTGCCATTGGACGGCGGCTCCGTCTTCTCAGATTGTGCTTGGGACGGGTCTTGTTCTTCAGTGTGGAGGTCGGTTACGACGTCATGGCTAATCCATATTTGTTGGCTTCTAGGATTGTCACTCACTTTTGGGTGCAGTACCCGGGTTCTATAACTGTGCGTTAGTTTCTTTCGTTAGCAACGACGAAACAAGAATGTGTACTCGAGGTCGTCAATCCGGTTATGCAAAATCTCATAATCGATTCCGACGTTAGGCTCTGGGTTCCGGAGGTGCCGAGGCTCAAGCAGCCTTGTGTATTCATACATGCCAAACCTGTCGTGGTTGATTCGATTTCTACAAGGAAGGAAGTTTACGCATCGTGTCGCTCCAAGGAATTCTGGAACTCACAGATAGAATTCGAGATAATCGAGCGCTCGCCACTGCAAACGCGTTGAGATCATGGGGAATACACTTCTGGTGATAGTCTTAATGGCGGATCGAGCGCTGATAGGCAACAGCATGTAACTGGGCACGTTAAGTCGGGAATGTCATTAGAAAAAGTACTAATGGAGCTTACTCTTCAAAAGTTTTCAGCGTCTGATTACACAGATTATCCATTTTCACCAAATACTCGTCCATCTCACGGAACGACCGCAGGCTTTTCCTAGATTCGGTGAATTGGTCGACCATCTGACACCACCTATCCTCGAACTTGTCAATGTTTCCAAAGGTCAGCACCTTTATCTCATCTTCGCTTCGACAACCCGCGAGATGGTTGTTCTCCTTCAGGAACTGTTGAAGATGCTCCGCCTGAGGGATACATAAGATAGAAGCAAAGTGATGGAGTGCTTTGCCTAATCGACAAGCAGCTTTTTCGTCATGATCGCCTATACTGCTCATGGTTGTAGTGGTTGAGTGACTTTAATCTTCAATCAAAGTTTGTGAAATGGCATGCTACCATGCGGTGGGCATGAGGCATATTGGTGCAGGCATTTTCTCCGCTGATGTACTGTTGGCTGAGACAATCTAAGGAGCGTTCCTCTTAGCTCAGTGGTAGAGCTTGTTACTCGTATGATCGCTCTTCGCACTCAATGACAGGGTCAGTCGTTCAATCCGACTAGCGGGAATTTGTTGTTAAAGGAAAATGTTTTTTGCTCTTTCGGGTCGAACTCTGTTCCAATTTTAAGCTCTTGTAGCGCTCTATGCCCTCCGACGTAAATTTAGTGAACCTGCATCTCATAATGATAAAGATTATAAATCTTTGGGTATTGCTCCTCCTTAGCTCAGTTGGTAGAGCGCGTCACTTGTAATGACGAGGTCAGTCGTTCAAGTCGGCTAGGTGGAATGCTTACTGAGTTCTTTTTAAATCCCCTTCCTTTCGGACTGGGGAGGTTCCAGGAACTGCGAGCACGGGCGCTGCCGAACGGATCGCCAAGTCCTTCATTGCAGTTTCTTGGCAAGTTTTACCAAAAGAAGCACCTCAATATATACTCAATAACACAACCTTTTGAGCCACTTACGATTTCTCTCCAGAGACAGGATATACATCGTCCGAGATGGGTAGGCCTTTACCTATAACTGCCAGTCGTAAACCAAGGCGTACTGATCATTATGTCGCTACACCAGTCAGTCCGCAACTTATAATTAACAGGTGATATATTGCTATCTGATATCGTCACAAGAATGTCACTGAAAACGAAGAAGGTCCAGGAGTCCAAACAAAGTCCGAGTCCTACCATTATGGTCCTTGCACCATATCTACCTCCAAGATTCCTCTATCACTCAACATACCCATACCCCTTCTCACTGCGGCCAAGCATTCCCTCTCCAATGGGTCCCTCATGGACCGATTCATATCCCTGACAGGTATCTCAAACCTAACCTTTCTCTTCACTACCATCATCGCCTCTTCTAGTCGCCTCCACTCATCCCGAGGACAATCTATGATGGCTTTAGGATGACATCGCAAATTAAAAGTGACAGTCTCCATGCGGGACGTGTCGCGTGAGTATCGCTGGAAAAACAACTCGGTCAATCCAGACAGCACAGTGTGGTTGGCTACACGGTCGGAAAAGAAGTTGGAAAAGCAACATGTGATGTTCGGGACGTGGGAGATGTCCAAACCGTTCGTTGCTGTAATAGGTCGGAATTGAGTCGGATTCAAAGCGAGTGGATAGGTGAAGTAACGTACATGACGAGAAACCGTGGAATACGACTTCTTCTAGTGCATCTCCGGCAGCTTCGAGAAGGCGCTGGAAATGGTCGCTCTGGTCTCCATGATCGGACCAGACTTGGAGCCTTCGGAGGGAACTGAGGTCCAGCGGAGAGTGGGGGTGGGTGAGTGTATCGATGAGAACGACAGGCACGTTCTGTATGCGTAGATATTGAAGCTTTGGTCTTTGAGAAAGCCGTTCATTGTCGATGGGAGGATTGTGTTCGCGATCCGGATGTGCCTGAAGGCTGAGCTGGTCGCTGATGTAGACATTCATCAGTCGCAACTCCTTCAGATCACGGCTGTTGCTAAACAGCTGAAGGAAGTCGGAGGGTTTTAGGAAAGATGTATAGTTTAAGGAAAAAGATTTGAGGTGCGGTAGGGAGAAGCTTTGACACAACGAAGGACGGATGTCGCTTGAGCCGTCCCACCGCCGATCGTAGTGTCGCCCTGAGATGGTCATCTTTCGCAGGTTGATTAGGGAGCCGAGTATCCGTGGGACGACGTCCTGATCCTGCGTAAACCAGCTGTTCTTGCCCCAGGTAAAGTTATAGATGGTGAAGTTCTTGACGAGGGGCGCGACACGTTTCGACCTCGCGAGCAATTTCAAGAAATCGACCGATGGATTGTGTACCCGACTAGAATCCTCTCGAGAGTCGAGTACTACGGAGAGAAATAGAAGTTTCTGAGAGTGGGGGAAGAATGACTGAGACACGAGAGAGCATGCTTTGAGTGCCTCTCGGTCATCAGCAAGTTCGTCGATGATGGCCTGGATAAGTTCTTGTGGGAATGCGTCCATAAGGTACAGTATGTATAATCTGGAAGGGCAGCTCGGTAAACTGACAATGAGAATAAGATCATTGGCCACATACAATGTCAGGTCCCGACTATCTCTAGAATCTAGAGGAAATGAGCGATCAGTTTCCCCCTCATTCCTTCTACTTAAGCAAACAAGGATTTGGGGATGCGACTCGGAGTCGATGGGGATAAGTGTGGGGTGGGGGTGCTGGTACCCGGATGACGGAGTGGGTGGAACGGTGATACGCCGGCTATTGCCGATTACCGGATTCCGGATCCGGACCTAGTCTCGTAAACCAGGCTCAACGATCCGTACGAAGATAAGTCGTTCATAATCCGGACCATTTCAATTCACCTGCATACTACACGAAAGTCGGTAAACGTGTATTTGGTCTGATGACAGTAGTAGAACGCGTAATTTCTGTTTTACTTAACAATGCTCGGAGGGCCGCCGAAAATCTGCCTGTCATCTTTACTTAATTCACAGCCACTAAGGCTGGGCTGCTGCTACTCTGGAGATTGGCAAGAGGCTCCAGACAAATTAGATCCTCAAAAGAGTGGCATCGGCGAAAGCAACAGCTTCTTCAAAATTCAGTCTTGTTTGATTTGATCACTTGGCAAGTCTTTCTGGAGGTCAGAACATTGTCATCACCTTGGTAGGAATCGAAGCCGGACCTCGACAAAAAAGATCAAGCGGAGTTAAATAAAAGACATATCCCAAGTCCAAGATACTATCATCGTATGGACACACCGATCAGGAGGGCTGAAGTGAGGGGAGGCACCATGCTGATGCCCAGGATGTCGGATTGAACTCGCAAAAAGATGGCTCGGATACTCTCGACCCGAGGAAGCGATCTTCCCAGCGTCTTTACCCTCCTGCGGTCGTCGGAGAGAACTGGCGAGCTTGAAAGACACGGGTGTGGGTACGAATCATAGAATATATCTTCAGGAGACAAAGGGCTGCGATGATAGCATCTTCTGGTCATGCAGAAGGATGTAAATAGTTCGTCGGACACCCGATCATTCCATGAGGAGGGATAAGTGCACTGAGTTTCAACGTCACAGCTAATAGCCTCAAGGTACGGAAAACTGAACAACGTGACTGAAAGGTAATTTGAGGTGTGCTTTCAAGTTAATGCCAGTGACTTTCCGCCGCTAGCAAGCTTATAAGACTGTTTCCAGGACCTCGGGAGCCCGCTCACCACGGAGAGCAGAAGGAAACGCCACATGTGTATCACTCCTGGCAGCTGACTAGTTCGCACTGGTCAAAATGCAATGAAGAATGATTAGAATATGGATAAATTTTTGGCCAAGCTTCTGTCCACACGAAATGCGTCGAGAATACTTTTAATAGTAAAGCCGACGGATTAGGATGTCTCGATGAAATTTTCTTGTTATCTGTCCATTTCGTCAGTTTTTTTGACTATTCCGAAATAGTTCCTTACCAGGGGTGTATCATATTCACAAAAACCGAAGACATTGGGCTTGAGAAGAAGTTGCATTGATCATACAATTCTCGCAGACGAGGAAATTGTTGAAAGGATGCTAGAGTTTTTTGAGCTTCCGCGAGAGTGACTATTCGGAAGCAAACACCTCGCCGTCAAAAGAGGTTTTCTGTACACTGAGCCGACTACGGCAGAGTACTAAATTTACCGATTGCCACATAGCCAGATTGTTTTTGTTTCCGTGTGGTTAAGCCTGACCTGTACAATGTTTTGTGAAATGATTATACTTACTATGTTCTAAGCGCCTTGCCTATGCATCAAAATGAAGATCAGGCAAATTTTCAAAATTTGTCATATCCAGTCCCCAAACAGACCAGAGGGTTGTGGTCTGACTGCCATGAGTCTGTTAGGTTTTCTTATGAGGACCTTATACGTGCCGACTGAGAAATTCACACCTTGTGTATCTTTTCAGCGGCGTCGCCAGGCAGAATCAAAAGCGACTGGGTACAATCCAAAGGCGAAATGTATTGGTCTCGAAGTGGGCCTGGGTAATAAAAAGATCCTCACGCCGATATGTTAGATAGTATTCTCCCGCGTATGTAGTACCAGAGACCTGTGCAATGTAGACAGAGAAAAAGAAAGGTGGGCTATGATTATTCGGCGGACCGGAGAACCGAAGTTGGAATGCGCACGTGGACATGGTCAGAAACTTAAAAGCCGAGCAGCAACATACAGCCTACAGTGGACCGCGTCTACCATAACGAATGTTCATCAGAGCATGTGTATGAAAAGGCGACAGAAGGGAAGAGGAATTGACTCGCGAAATAGAGTTTAAATGTTCTGGGCCAGGGACAGCAGGTGCATTTACAAGTCTGCACCGAACAATCAGGCTAAAGCAGATTTCCTTGACAGGTCGAATGAACGTGTTTTGTCCTTTCATAGGAAAAATAGGACTCTCCAACGTCGGCCTGTACGAACGTCAGCGGCCCAATTGGCATAATCGTCCTGCGAGCTATCAATTTAAAGTGACGGTAAGCCTAATACGCTCCCCAGTAACAAAAAGGTATGTCTTATAATTAGAACAGCCAGTCGGAAATTTAATGAAGTATTGAGGCAGGCAGTTGGGACGATCTCCCTTCCGACATTTAGCCTATACCATTTAACCCCCATGACTAGAGGTCTATAATATCCTCGTCATGCTTCTAGTCAGCTTCTAACTTTCTTCCGCGTGGTCATAGAGAAGGCTGCCCGATTTAGACCAATAGAGAAGACTCACGGATAGTTTCCACGGTCGCCGACTCTCCTTTTAAACTTGGAGATGAATTGGTATGCTCGTTTTTGCATTCTTATTACTTAGACTCTGACGGGGGATCTGTCAGGGATAATATAGACTCATCTTCTCGAGCTATATCTTCTTCTCTATGAGAAATGATGATTCATAGTCACGAAGGCTTCTTTGACCAATTCTTTCTTGAAAGAGAACACTACGCGTGCTCAGCCTTGATTTATTGGCGAGATTGGCGCCTCTTGTTAATGGGTATCGTGTTTTTGTGCCCGGACTAGGTACTATCGAACTAGCTTCTTCTCATCTGTGTCTGACCCTCTTGCATTGCAGCCGCCTATTGTACAGCGCCAACTATTATCGATCGGATTTCAGTGGACAAAGGAGGCTTTTGGTCTCTGTCCAAACCAGGACGGAGGAATGATGACCGTTCATATCCGCAGCTAGCGGCTAAAGATGTCAGCGCCACCATAAAACTCACCATAGGGGCTTAGACAAAGGCATGGACTCCCTTTTGCGTTACCATCCGAATCGGTCAGGGGATTGGCCCGGTTCTACTTGATACCATTGGCCAAAGGTGTTCGCTAACATCCGAGTCCCCGTACATACTTGCTTACGCGTCCTGATCGCAGATTGAACGAAACGCTCTTCATAAATCGATCTGGGGACTTTGTCATTTATACGTTTCATTGGATATCAGACATGCAAAACTGAGGCTATCCTCTTGGAGTCTACCTTTGGAAGTGACCCCGCGGCTCATGTATTACTTCAAACGTTAATCCGATCTACTTCTCGAACCAACAAAGGACAAAGGAACGGCGGAATCGACGGAGGCAAGGCGGAGACATCGAGGCTTCGCTACCTCGCTCAGTCAAGGAACTGTGATAGCAGGATTGGTGGCCGGAGAAAGACAAAGGCTGTTACATCGCTCGATGGAGATGGAGTGCCACTCGAGGCCCTAACAAAGGCTGTTTGACTCATTTGTGAGAAGGCCCTCTTCGGGCGTCAAGGTGTAAAGAAACCATCGATGTGTCCTGGGCGGGTTTGTGGCAGGTACGCTTAATATCGGAGATAATTGTTGCCATAGATGACGCTAAAAAACACCTAGGTTCTTTCATTCAAACGCCGATACGGCGACACGCAGCTTACATGCAGCACGAGATGCCTCGGAAAATACCGACACTGGTCAGTTCTTTTAGACACCGTTCACAGCAGGTGAAGCTCAATCTAGTTGTTCACAGAGCTCGGACATCGTCACGAGTATATTTCAAGATCATATCTTACTGATCGGCGTAGACTCTGATAATCAAGAAGACGGCAAACCATTCCGTAGAGAGTGATCCACAGGGAATGTGAAGATGCGCCATGACCGTGGTCCACACGGGGAACGAATGAGTCATGATGGATCTACCGAATCTGGGTGCTGTGTGTGCATGAGGGGGAAAGATATGCCGAAACTCGTCCTCTTCCCGCCTCGAGGCGAACACGCCGTTCCATTTAGCGAGGGACGAAGTTCCTATGCTCACGCTTTTGGAAATCTCTCGATACCGACGGGACACAGTCAAAAGCTGAGCTCAAGATGCATTCTCTCGTACATTCATCCTCTACAACCCACCAATCGATTTGGACTCTTCCACTTGCTACCTCGCAAAAATACGCTTTGATATGCCTCCCGTTCGCTCTATTCCCGTTCGCCGGTCTCGACGTTTGGCGATGCAAGTACCGGTCAAATACGATGGTGAGCTGATGGTCAACAGGGACCATCTCGTGTACTGATTCATTGTAGATGATGGCTGGCAGTCGGGTGACGTCACGATGGGCCTGGTTGCTCCCCTACTCGATGCCGCGGCTACAGGTTCTCCGTCGTCTCCTCCCAAGGCTCCGCGTCCTCCCAACGCGTTCCTTCAGTTCCGCTCGACGTACTGGGAAGAAAACAAGCGCGAGCGCAACAACCGCAACGTAAGCCGCATCTGTGGCTTCCTGTGGAATAGCATGTCGGCGGAGGAGAGGAGAGTTTATGAAGAGATGGCTGCGGTCGCCCAAGCGGAACACAAGTTGAAGTACCCGCACTTCACCTATGCGCCTGGTCGGAGAGAGAAGAAGCCGAAGACGCATCGCAATCGTGACTGTAAGGAGGAGGATAGGTGTCGGAAGATCGCGCTGTTGTTCAGAAAGGGTGTCAAGGACATCGAGATCACGATGGAGGTGAAGACGGAGGAGCCTGTTGACGCTATCCCTTCTCCCACTCCCTCCGTTGAAGCCACTGAGGAGCGTGCCCCGAGTCTTTCCCACAGCGCCACTCCACCGGTCAAGACAGAGGAGGAGGAGAAGTCCTTTGTCCCTACCTCCGCCATACCGCCACTCGATCTGAGCGCTTCGGCTGCTGAAAAAGTTCGTCGTATTCCCTTCTGTATATATTTTTCCTGCTGCTCAGTCCTTTTTTTTCAGGAGGACGCCTTCCCTTTCGACGGTTCGGTCCAGCCTCCCAGCTACATCCGTGTCGATGCTCAGTTTGGGATGAACCCCGACGTCAACATGGATTCCAACTCTATTGCCCCTCCCGCTGACGATACCGCCAGACCTGAACTGTTCGATCCCGTCGAGAATTACATGTCGGATTACGTTAATATGTTGGAGGTGCTGGACGGGGTGACCGATATCGCACCTCCGGAAGCGGAATCTCTCTTTGTCTCTGCTGATTGGGCGTACATTTGAATCGATGGCCGCCGCTTTGTTTTGTAGATACTCTACGAGGAGATATAGCCCCGATTGTTACGATCGTACCTGTACTTCATTCAAGTCATTCGTTTAGTGTAATTATAAACCTAGTTTCCTACCTATGTACCTTCTACACGAGATTATCACGTTTTCCTCCTGTGTTCAATTCTAATAGTAGCTCGGTATGGCGTAAATGACTACGAACTCACCTTCAAAGCTTAACTGATTGATCAAGTAACACCATAGTGGCATTCGGCTCAACTACGCAACAAGCATCTTCTCTCCTGATATTTTAAATAAAGCTATCCAGGATTTCCATCGTTAGTAATTGTCTAGGATGAAATTCTTCTCGCCACAGGAGGCTATAAGGTGGTTCAAGTACCTGACGCAGCTGAAACTTTTTGATCGGGATAGTAATCATGTCTGCATCTGAATATAAGCACGGTCCGGATATCAAACACCCGGCGCAGGGCTAAGGGCACATCGAAGATGGAGACTTCAACACGACAAACACGTTTCCTTCAAGAGGTGGTTAATGCAGTATAGCACAGATCTCAAGGCCCCGGAGTGGCACTATGCTGTTCAAAAGTCTGAGGACCAAAGGAAGCTGCCTTGAATGTAGAACAAACCATATATACCGCGAGGTTCAAGACCATTGTCAGGATGCTCGCTTGCCGCAACATCCCGCCTCACGAAATGATAGATACGTGCCCGTATCCGGCTCATCGGGCGGCGGGCCAACGATGTATGGTAGATATTCGAATTGCAGTCCTAGGGTCGATGACCACAAGCCCGCTTGTTTGAGGCGTTCGAGTCAGTCATGATGTAGAAAGAAATACACCGAGATCATACTCAGTACCTGTTGCAGGCAGGTTATTTTTGCGCAGTAAATAACGGCCAGGCTGAGTACGACGGTCAATTGCTTAAAGGCAGTTGACCGTCGACTCAGGACAAAACTGTCTATGCTTATATAAGGTTGACATCAGGTACTTGTGTCGTCCCGCAACAGTACCTGATCTAATGCAAGTCAGAAGAGAAGCAGAAGGACACGGCAAGGATAGGCGTCACAGTTAAAAAAAGAGAGAGGAGGGGGGGGGGGGCAGCAGTTTTTGTCAAGAGGTGGCCAATCACTTACAGCTACGGACTTTCGGAAGCCAGAGTCCACGAAGCGAGGCTGCTCCCATCCCATCGATGAAGAGGTGGAGACTTATCCGGGACCGAAACGTTGCCCGGAGACTGGCACCATTTCCGCTGCAGGCCGACGATTTCCTTTTGCTTTGCCTGAGAATATGTTGGTCCCATTGCCATTACAAGGCTGAATCCTGAAAGGTAAGCATCCTAAGTAGAGTTAACGTTGTACCCTACACCCGTGGCCCTTGACTTGCGCATCGAGTTCTGTATGTTTCTTGAAGTAGAAGACGATCCACATATTGATCCTTGTATAGATGCAACACGAAGTCAAGAATTTCGGGAAAGACGGGAGGATTACCAGTCTCCTATCATTCTGGTTAGCAGAAAAGGATATCAAGACATACTCATGACGACCGTCCCGTGTAGCTGCATCTTGTATCTTCGCGGAAAATGTAACGAGGCGTCCGCCGCATCTGTATTGATGGTAGAGACCAATGCGAGTGATGCTATTACTCCGTGATTTTCAGGCTGCTGTGACGGAGGTACGCGACAACTTTATATCTTGTCGACCCGTGTGCTCGCTTGATGAATGTTGTATAGAAATATGTCGACATGTTCCTGCCGACTCCGGATAGGATGCAGAGTAGAATTTCCGCGCTGAGACAGCTTTGCATCGAACGAATACTTGGCATCGACATTGGCTGATGATGGTTGCATTTAGCTAAACATATGACATCTTAGTAGTTATTGTCAGCCCTAATGGTTGTGCTCTTGGTTGTGAAGGCCACTGAGATCTTTGGTAGTCCTGAGGATGAAAGTCAGCCTTGCAGGCAAGACTCAATAATCCAGAGCAACGTACTCGACAGGTATACCAAATACATCGATCTTGTCGATTCTCGTCTCCTCCTCGCCGCCGCGATTAGACACGACGAAAATCTGACATACAGTCAGAATGAAACGGAAAGGGAAAGACATGTACGCACATGCAAGCTGTTGACCTTCTGAAATCGTACGAATCGTAAGGCGACCTGCTTTCCCTCCTTCACTTCTTCCTCGCTCAGCTCCAAGACCTGTGCCACATCTGGTTCATCAGCATCCTCCAGGTCCTCGAATCCAACATTTGACCGGTTGATGACAAGTTTCAGCTTTTTGGGCGCAGTCGATAGCTCGTCAGACTGGATGACAATCGACCGTACGCGAACTGATTGGTTGAACTGTCCATATCATGAAAATTTCTTCGCATATCCGACCTGTTAGATAACGTACAGCAATGTTCAATAGCAGCTGCTCATCTGCGTCACTCTGTAGGAATGCACTAGTTGCATTCCTTTTCTTGGAGGCTACGATGGCTTTGAAAGGGTGCTCCGCAGATTCGTTGAGGCAGTTGAGTTGCTGCAGGTCGAGAAATTCGAGGAGGGAGGTCTAGGGCGCTGTAAGTTGGGCAGACAACGGCAAGTAGGAATAACACCACATTACCCATATCCTTCGAGGAGGACATGATGGCGGTACAAGAAATAGTCGATGGCTAGCCAAACAGTCGAAAGCTTTTGGCAAATATGGGTGATAGGGGTCTTTTTCCTGAATATGGGTCACTTGGTCTTGAAGAAACTCAAATTAGTTGTCAGACAACAGCCAAACAATCACAAATGCAATGCACTGCAACAGCTGGGGTCTGACTCTAACTGAAGGTAAAGCAGAAGGTTGAGGATGGGGATGTATAGGATGATGATAAGGGAAAGGTTGATAGACTGTAACTGCCAGTATTGGTACTGAAGTGGTAGTCACACCAAGAGTTTAGGAGTTTGATTGGTGTATTGACCTTAGCTTGAGACTAGAGTATATCACTGTATACTACTGACTTAAATACTGTATAGAAAAGTCTTGGCAATCTCAACCAAGCCATTGTCTCAGTGCCTCAAACCAAGCTATTATCTCAGTGCCTCAAACTAAGTCTTGGCTGGGCATGATTTAGGGGCTAAAGTTATGACATGAGTAGTATATACATCTATAGAAAATTTACTCTTTTTATCAGTGCTATATTTCTCTCCAGTAATTCTTCTGCTCACTGGAGATGAAACTTTACATTTTCTTTGCACTCAGAATGTCACAATTTTTACCCTTAAAATCATGACCTGCTAATGCTTAGTAAGCAGATGCTTACCAATCCTAACCTCAGGCTAACCTTACAAAGAATGATGAAGACATGATGACACTATGGCTATACCTTATTCATCAACATATAATAGATGACAAGGAACAGTGTGGTAACCATTGCTATCTCATGTCTTGAATACAATAGGAACTGTGGCATATGAAAAACTCACTATAGTGATGGTATAGCAGAGCAACAATGATAAACAAAAGTAAAGGCACAGTCATTGTTATTTCAGACAATGAGCAGAGAGCATGGAAAGCAGATAATAATTGCCTGTAGGGCATCTAAGAAAGTGATGCATGTTCATAGCACCTAATAGAGTACACTGTTAGCTATAATATAGACTACAGGATACCAATCAGTAACATAAATAAAGTAATATAAGTAGATACTCACTCTCACATAGCATAGTGATAAGCAGAAATGTGATGAGGGTGCTTGATGGACTATATTCAATATATATATAGTCCATCCTGATATAAAGGGGTATTGAGCTTGACCAGTGGGATATGATAGAGCTTCTGCTTGCTAATCCAACAGGGCATAGGGTTCTTTAGACAGTATTTAAGGCAGTAGTACATATTGATGTACTCCAGTCTTGAGCTAAGGTTTAATACACCTGCTAAACTCTCTGACTACCTGGTGCAGATACTTTTGCCCAACATAGCAGACTATCCCTATCAGCCACACTCCCTTATTCCTCTTCATGAAATTCTTATTGTCTACCTCATCATTTTCATCATACTATTATACTGAAACTAGACTCAGACTCAGAACTTAGAATCAGACTCTAGTAGAAGCAGTGCTAAACATTTGTGAGTGTTTAATGGAAGCCTAACAATTAGCTCAAGACTTCACATGCTCCAGTCCAACAGCACTTTGCTAAGAACTAGCATATGAAACTTGTACTCAAAAATATCATTGCCACCTTTATCACAGGTGCCTGCCTGTTTATCACAGTAACTGGAATCATTAAATATCATATCATATAGTTATCAAAGGAACAAAGAAGAAGAAGAGAATTAGAAGAATAGGAGAGCTGATAAAGAGTGGATCTCATCTACTATGCTCTCCAACCAGTGCTCTACACACTTCTGAGTTAGGAGAGCATTATCATCTGACCACTGGCTCCAGAACCTACTGACATCAGCAGCATGAATTATATCATCCAATCTCCAGAATCCAGAAGTGTATAAACTGGAGGAGGAGGAGTTGAACCTCTCTCTCTCATCATTCAACTGGCCACCTCTGATAAGAGAGAGTCAGTATGAGGGAATGATAGCCATATAAGCTAACTCTGAATCAGAGATGTGGCTGCTCTCACTGCTGACTACTACTGAGAGCATACACCAGGAGCCCTATCTGAGCTTTACTCTAAGCAGATGGATGAGTCCAGCCTTGTGGCCAGATCATCCTTGGAGTTGATGCATACAGTCTTAGAGAGGTGAGCCTCAGTCTGATAAATCAGAAACTGTGGATCCATATGAGCCAGGCAGGAGAGTATGAATACATTCTCAACTGGTGAACACATGTAGCAGAAGAATCTGCTTGGGCATTATCAACAGCTGAGAGAGTGGCAGATGGCCAACACCTATTGATTAGGAACAGACAAAGAGCTCCAGCATCTTGCACTGCCAGAGCACACCAGAGATCTAGTGAACAGAGCATGGGCAGAAACTAGAGTAGCAGAAGTAGTACAGAATACCAAGGAGTGCTGAGAGCCCTCTTTTCCTTTCCCTTATCATCATCAGCAGAAAGCAGTCTAAGTAGCTGGAGAAGCTGAAACCCATTCTGAAACATCCAAACTCTGGCCCAACTAATCTGTCTGTTTACAGGAGCAGGACTAGAAGATGCTGGATCTCCAGCTTTATTGGCACCCTCTGGCAAAGAGAAAGAAAGGGAAGAGCCAGCAGTGCTGTTTTCCTCACCTTCTGAAGAACTGCCAGATCATTTTCAGTATGATTGGAGACTGCAATCCTTATCTAGGCCTAAAAAGCCAGCCCTACCACCAACATCACCACTGATGAGTCTCTAGACTCTGTGCACTCTGAAATCACAGGCTCCAATAATTATTTTTGACTTCTGCCCTTAAGTGGGCTTTTAATAAACCAATTATTTTAGGTTCAACAGCAGTAATTTCATTAAGAACTATCTATTATTCACTGATATCCCCTTGTGCATGAAGATTATATACTATATATGAACTTTCCTTTTCTCTGCAAATTTTCTTGACCTTATAAACTTTTTTCATTAATCTTCATAGTGTGTGAACTTTTAATTCTAATAAGCACTATAGGCCAGGTCAGGCATCACAATCTCTAATCATATAAGATATATGTCATTGTTAGTATATATATAGCATCTTAATATAGCCTATAAGATCCATTATGATGCATATACAAGACTGGCTGTGAATGTCTAAGCTTTTCACAGCTAGCATGTAGAAGAGTAGTAGGCCAAGAGAACTAATCATGTGTTTAGTTAGATATTCATAAGGAATATTAAAAAGGCTAGCATACTATTGGCTACATGAACTTTTAAATATGCTAAAATTACTAAAAGCCTCACAACCTTGAAGGCTTTGTGTAATAAAAAGTTTGCTATACTCATTAAGCTAGGACTGCAGTTACAAAGGCTGTTTAAATGTTGCATACTTGGTATTAGTAAAAAGATAGTATAAGTAGTGCACAAAAGCAATAGGGAGAAAGAATCATATTAACTGTATATCAGTATAACACCCCTCTAATAGAACTAATTACACAGACTATCTACAGGTCAATACCCTTCAACTGAAAGCACTATAGCATCTCAACAACTTTATAAGGCTTGCATACAATAATATTGAACCTATTAATTCATGAAATATTGGCTTGTCTTGCTTCATTCTCAAAAACATGAAAAGGATCTGCTGCCCTTGCATGTCATTCTCACTCTGCCTAGACCTAACAAAAGACTTTGAAAGGTAACTGGACAACACTAACAATTTTCCTAGACTCCATTAGGACTGCATATAGGATTTTGACAATAAAAGTTTACACTGCATATAGATTGCATCATCTCATAACTCAGATTCATATACAGTTGACTATCTCACAATGCATGATATCAAAATGCATAATTCTGACTTTGCATATAGATTAGGCTGGAATGCAGTTGGAGAGCAGGGAAATGGGCTAGAAATGCATATCACATAATGCATATAGTTCTAGTTAGAAATATGCATTGTCAGATCAAAAATTATAGTAAGCTGATATGTTATTATGCATATACAGTTGACTATCTCATAATGCATGATGTTGAAATGCATAATTCTGACTTTGCATATGGATTGGGCTGGAATGCAGTCAGGGAGCAGGGAAATGGGCTAGAAATGCATATTGCATAATGCATATAGTTCTAGTTAGGAATATGCATTGTCAGATTGAAAATTGTAGTAAGCTGATATGACATTGTGCATATATTAGAACAATAAAGAACATAATATGTTTGTATGGACTATGACAAACACAAAAAAAAATATTGTAAAGCGACACAGCCTATATCTCTATAAACATGCCTCCTGAACCAACATGAAAACCATGTGCTAAACCTGGAAATCCATACAAGCATACAAAACAGAAGGAGAAAGTCCCAATGTACACATCATCAGCTCAGCCTCTAAAGCAGATCTCCCATCCACACCTCACAACAGGAGACTGGCTTGTAGTATTCAAACATGTTGATAACCATCCTTTCCATCAACATGCTGACATTATGGCACATTTCACAAACTGAAAGAAAGGTGCACTGCTCTTTACCCAACCAACTCTTTCATAAAAACTGGCATCTTGTACAAAAATTGAACAGTTGCAAATGAGAACTCTAATGCACTATCATCCAAAAAGTCTTACACTGTCATCCAACCTGATGTGGAGCATGCTGTTGCATCCTGGTATCAGAACATGCAACTCCAAGGTGAGACTGTGACTGGTGCAATGCTGATAGAGAAGTGAAATCAGATTGAAAATCTGATAAATATTCCAGAGGATCAGTGTTTGAAAGAAGAGGGATGGTTGAGGTCATTCTGCAAGACATGGAAGATTCAGGAGGTTTGGCAGCATGGAGAAGCAGGCTCAGTGGATATGATGGCAGTGGAAAAAGAATATGTGATGTGGGACAGATAGAATATTGATGAATCCAGTCTTGTCATCTTTGCCATCTCAGATCATACCTTGGCATCTGGTTCTATGAGTGGACAAAAACAGGACAAGTTCTGCATCATCATGTGTTTTGCTGTGAATGCAGATAGGAGTGAGTGGATGCCAGTTGTTTTCATTGGAAAGTCAAAGCAACCATGATGTTTTAAGAAAAAGAGTCCAACAGCAATAGGATTCTATTATCAGAATAACAAGAAGGCCTGAATGATAAGTGA